CTCTCCAGACCACCTGAGAGGAGGAAGAGGAGATGTTTTAATAATGATGCTTCCCTGATAGAGAGCTAAAGTAGTTGGATTTTTTCTAAACAATTTCACTCAAACTTAAAATATCAGGTTGAACCTTAAAATACAAAATCCTCCTTTTATTTATTTTTACTTATGCCTTACGCAAATGATAAAAGTGTTTCTTTAATCTGAAAATGTTGACTTTATACTCTAAATGATTCTCCAAAATTAGTTATTTCTTTTTAACTTATATGCCTGGAACTAATACTAAAAGTTTGACTTTTCTTAAAAAATGTACTTTATTCTCGAAATGAAAATGTAATCTTAACCATATATTTTTTTCTTCTATGCCAGGAATTAATACCGTTTGATTTTATTCCCAATATTTTCCCTTCATCCTTGAATTCTCAAAATTCAACATCAAAAAAGTCTTACTGCCTGGCCCTTATTCTCTTCCTCAGTGATCAGTATTGAACCCATCTACTCAATTCATTGTTCCACTTGCCCAGGAAAGGTTCTAGTCGTCCTAACAGAGTCTGGAAGGCGGTGAGCAGAACCCAGGCCCGGCCTCTCTCCTCCAGCTCGTTCTCTGGCTGTTGGAGTTCGGCCCAGAACTCTGGAACCACGGCGGAGGACAGACGCATCTGCAGGGTCTCCAGCAGCCAGCCACCCAGCAACCGGCCCAGACCCTCCCCGCTCAGCAGGGCCAACGAGTCCCAGAGGCCCTGCTCTGGCCCCGGGCCACCAGGGGACATCTGGAATATAAAGAGAGATTAATCCAGAGGTGGAAGAAGTACTCAGATCCCTTTTCTAAAAATGTATTGAATTGAATACGTTTCTTAAGTAAAATACAGTATTATCAGCTGAATGAACTCAAGGTATCAAACATTATAAGTACTTATTATGCAGAATGGCTATTTTAACAGTAATATATTATAACATTTCTGTTTTATCACTGACAGATTATATGACATTTTATGTGGAATCACATTAAAACATTTTATTTGTCAACATGAATTCACTTCAGATTTAAATATTTATTTAAAAATTTAGAAATACTGGTTTCATGAGTATTACAAAACTAAATCATACCATATAAGCCCATCATGTTATTTTATATTTAAAAAATAACTAGTGTCTATGAATGTTAAAACATGTAGTGAAGTAAAACGTATGATATTTGTAGCTGAAATGTAGTGGAGTAGTCGTTTAAGTAACCTAAATTAGCAACAATAACAGTAATATAAGTAAAAAGAATAACAGTGTTATATGCATGCATGCCAAATTTAAAACGACAGCACTACTTATCAGTGGACTATCCTACCTACAAGCAAGAAAACATTAAATCATGAAATAAATGATGAACAGCAACAGGAAGACTATTACAAGTAAAGAGAAAGGTAGAGACAGCGTGTTATGTACGCCGAATTTAACCGAACACTATTACTAGTTGGCGGACTTAGCTGTGGTGTCTCACACTCAAAATTGACTGACGCTACAAGCATTACAACTTCAAATCGTTAACAAATTGAATGGAGTATGGCGACTCCGGGTTACTACAGTAGTCCAGGGATGAGTCCACTCACCAAAGCATTAGTGACAGTCTCCCAGGCATCAGCCACTCCTTGTTTCTGTGCTGATCCCGAAATCTCGGCAGAGTCTTCCTCCATCCCAATATCCTCCATCTTCTTGGACTTTCTTCAGAAATAGGTAGGCTACTAGCTAGTGTGAGTAAAACATCTAAACTTTGGGGGATTTTTTGTGTGGTGTTATAACGTCCCATACGTCTATGTATGCATACGCATTGTGTCTTAGATGTGACTTTTATTAATTTCTGAAAATGTTCCGACAAAAGTCTTCTGTTATTAATTTGAAATAACGTTACATGTTTCTAGCTCGCGAATTGCGGGTTTACTTCTTCTCTTCGGCGTTTTCTTCTTCTACGTTGCGTGCATTTCCGGCAAACTGAGTGCCAGGAGGCACTGCACTGCCCCCTACAGGTCACCACTGCATGTACCTCATCAGAAAGGACAAGCGATATTGTCATCAGTGATTTACATTTCTGAATAAATAAATACATCTGAAATAGCCTTTGGGAGAATTTGGTTATATATAGTTGTACAAGTCAGTTGAACTGATAATACAGGTGTCATTTTCAAATACTGTTATATTTGTATTTTACTATATTTTGTATTATTTTAAAATATTTTTTCTAGTTCTCTATCTGTGTTTTAATTGTTGTTTTACTATGTATGTATGCACCACGACACCTAGTCAAACTCCTTGTAAGTGTAAACCTACCTGGTAATAAACCTGTTTCTGATTCTGATTGAATACATTTTTTGACACGGAATATAATATGTAAAGCATGTCCTGAGAAGGTTGACATTTAACATCAATTGGTCTTTTGATTTATGTGGTCTAACAAAAGAGACAATTGTTTATTATTATTATTATGATTAATTATAAGATATATTATCATATTATAAATATATATTTTTCCCAAAACACAGAAATTAACTCACCTTAAAAGTCATGCGTAGACTATACTATCCTTATATATAATTATTGGTGCTCTTCCTCCCTATCTAAGGATCTACATAAACCGAAAATGCACAGGATCTTATCGGCTTCGCTCCGGTAAAAAAGGTAAAAAATATAAGAAACATCTTAGGCCTCTGTATTGCTAAAACATGTCACAACTGCAACCTGATAAAAGGTTAATAGTATGGGTTTTGTTTAAAAAAATAAATCACTAAGAGAATGACAATTCAATCAAAACAATAACATTACAAATATGTCATTCATATGTGTGTATATTTTAAACTATGTAATGACTTTTTATGGAAAACTACACTATTGATTTTTATATGCTAGACCTTTTACAATCATGGCCTTTTTCAACATTTCTTTACTTTTGCAATTATCTTTTGGTTCTTTTTAAATACTATACTAGACTTGTATGACTTTATATCTCATCCATTCTATGAACTTAAAAAAAACATTTGTATAATATTACTTTCTATGGCATACTATTATATTAATGACAAACTGTACCTGATGTTAGATCCGGTCCAGGCCAGAAGGGGGCAGCAGAGGAGCGTTTATAACTCAGGAATAGTTCTCTATATATACATCCATAGGTTGGCTACAAGCAGGGGCGGACTGGCCATTGGGAATACCGGGAGTTTTCCCGGTGGGCCCACATTGAGGATGCTTCCTATGCCCATGTTTTATTCCATGTGTCAAGTCAGGCAAATTGGGTCCAGATGTTATTGCATCAATGATCTGTTAACATTAAAATCACTAAATATATGCTGTAACTATTTTTGCTCTAGGCAACTCAAGGGCTCAGGTAATGTGATTACTATATGAATAATGGTCCAAAATAACATGAAATGCATAGGGTTTTTTGTTAAGCAACATACTTTCGTCGCCGGCCGGCCGATACATGCCGCGCATTTATGCCCCGGCCACACGAGGACGAAAACGGCCGTTTGCGTTACTGTTTAGTGTCATATAGACCATTCGGCCACACGAGGACGACCGCATACGGCACTAAACGACTGAGGAAACGATAACGGGTCCCAAGGTGGATAGAACGGCATACGCAACGCTCTGGGGGGTCAAACAGCTCCGTGTGTGCGCCCTATACGATCATTTTCTGATAATGATTGCGCAATAGCCCCGCCTGTCCCCACCTCTGCTGCTCACCTCCGCGTACCCCGCGCCATTGCTGATGTGTTTCGCCACCAACAACAACAACAATGGCGGATCGCAGAGTTGCTATCGTGCTCCGGATGCTACTGACCATGCTACAGTTCTTTGTGCAACATCTGCAGCAGACTTACACATCCGGGGGGGATCTTACTCGCTGCTTTTGTGGATATGTACTGCAGCTTCAGCGATCATTTTCTGATAATGATTGCGCAATAGCCCCGCCTCTCCCCACCTCTGCTGCTCACCCCCGCGTCAAAGTAAACTGCACACTGAATTCAGATTATTTATCTTTCTCTCGATATGGACATAAACGCGAGTGATGTCTAATCTGACAGGACAGAGACACCTCTCAAACTACCTAAACTAGTTATATGTTTATTTTTACTGTCGTTTATTTTTACTGTCGGCCGGGTCACTCATTACATGAAACAGACACTGGCGCTGTCCGAAGAGAGGGAGGAAAAAGAGAGGCTCCATGTATTTTATTATTATATTATATAGATTCGTTATTCATTTGTTTTAAAGCTCAATAAATAACAAAGAAGACCTTTGACCGGCACTTTTATAATTTTGTCGGAAGATTTCAACTTTAATACACGTTGACGTTGAAAAACTCTGCCCGGTTCCCTCGGCCCCCGCCGCGGAGAATAAACAGAAGGGCAACCATGACAACCATGCTTCTTCGCTGCTTTTGTGGAGGAAGTTACAGCGCCACGTACAGGCTCCTGTATATGTACTGCAGCTTCTCCAGCGGTTGGAGCTAAACGGAGCGGTCTCGTGTGGGCAGACACTATCCGGATAACTATTGCGTGTGGACGGAAGCTTGTTTGCGATTGCGTTTGCGTTAATCCTATGCGTTTAGCCGTTTTCGTCCTCGTGTGGCCGGGGTCTAAGTGGGCCTGTCTGTCAATTAATCCCCGGGCCACTTTCCCCCCCAGTCCGCCCCTGGCTACAAGTGTGATGCAAACGATTACCATTAGGAACAATTATTTTTTATATGTTTCTTACATCCCAATTACTTAAATTATGTTTTCTTTTTTGATGTACAATCTACATAATATAAGAAATGTTCTTATAATAATGAGGACACCAAGTAGATCTTCGGAATAACCTTTTGTCCTCCTCCCTATGTATAATTAATGGGTCCATGTGTGTATGTCTGTATGAGTAAGTGTATGAGTAAGTGTGTATGTGTGTGTTTGTCCCGCCTCCCTCGAGAGGCTTCGGTGACGTCATCTGCAGTAGCTCGTGCTTCCAGCAGCAGCAGCGGTTCTCTCTCTTCATTCAGTCCGCTCCAAGTTAGTTAACGGATCTCACGGTTGTTATTATGTTCCGCCGGGGCTGCTTTTTCACTTGTTTCCGTCCCTTGCCAGTCAGAAACGGACAAATGGTGTGTGGAAATGTCTCTACTTCTTTTTCTTCTGCTGAATAATCGTCTCAGTTTGGATTTTCTCTTGAAGAAAACAGATTTTATGGGAAGTATTAAACCTACTGGCGCTCTTTTGATTTTAACGTGTGTCGGAATGTAACAAGCAATTTTTTTTAAAATATATATATAACTCCAATTGTTTACCTAATGGATACAGTTACAAAGATAATATTGGAGTATTTGTTCACCTTTTTGTGATTTGATAAGGGTATTTCTTCGGAGGTGGAAGTGGACTATTCCCTTGGAAAAAAGTAAAGTTTTCATCACCTAGCTTGAGGCAAAGAATGCTATATTCTGGTAATTTTCCCAACAGTTACGGTCATTTTGTTTGGTTTACGTGAATTAAACCAAAAATGATTTCGGAGGAAAGAAGCAGCCACGTAAATAAACAAGCCCTAAACTTCCCGGTGGGTTTACTCATCCGCAATCCAAAGAAGCGACTGGCAAAACTGGGGAGGAAACCCAGCAATGGGTCTGTGCAGTAAGTCCTCATTTACCTTTAACAGCTCTGTAATTAGCATGCTGAAGAAGATATAAACACAGCCTGAGGAAACAGTACTGCGATGTTATGCTTTTACTATAAGTACAAATAGCAATACAAAAGGGTAATAAAATAGTCTGGTACACAAAAAGTCATGCATTTAATAGTGAGTAGTGCAAAACTGTACATATTAAAAATATACTTAAAGTACTACTTAAAGTAAAAGTACTCATTATGCAGTATGGCCCCTTTCATAATCTATATTATATTCCTGGACTAAGATTATTAATGTTGCAGTTGTGTAGCTAATTTGAACTACTAATATAAGGTTTAACTTTATTATCATCTACTTGATTTACATTTTGTATTATTTATCTGCAAATATAAAGTATCTAGTACTTAAGGCTGTCTGTAAAATGTAATGGATCTAATTGATATACTGACTAGTTGTTGCAGTTCTTGTCTGGATATAAATGAAGCCACTTCTAGACACACGTATAGGACTTATTACTCCATGTGTTTATTTAAGCCTTGCCACTAAACAGTGTTTGTTGTCTTCTATGTCCCCTGTTAGGTCCAACCAATCGGACACCACCGTCCGCTCCACAGAAAGCGTGTGTGTTCGGCAGCCGGCCAAGAGCAAAATCCGCCGCCACAACAACAACAACAACAGGCTTTCATCTGTTTTCAACCAAAGCCCCTGCAGTGGCCGCCGCGGCCAGGGCAGCGGGAGCCTTCAGTCTGCAGACGACCCTGCAGAGCTGTCCAGCCAAATGTCTGTCCCCGGCATCCTGAAGATATTCGGCAGCGACATCTGTCAAGGGACCCACTACAAGAGCGTGCTGGCCACCATACAGTCCTGTGCAAAGGAGCTGGTGAAGGAGGCCTTGGAGAGGTGAGAAGTGTCTCTGAAGTGCAGGGCATATTCTAAATCTGAGATAATGTATCAAATGCAAGAAAAGTTACACACAACAATAGTTGTAGTGAGGATCTGATATCTGGAAGTAGAACTGAAATAAGAACTATAGTTGCACACTGGCTCCATATTAATTTTAAGGTTTTGAACATTTGGTTGAGAAAACAAGCACTTAAGTTATTTGAGCTCCAAAAACGGATGAGCAGATTTCACTGTTTTCTTTCATTTTACGAGCTAAATGCTTAATCAGTTAATCAAAAACTAAAACGTACAGTCATTCTAGATGCTCTTTTAATCGATATGTCAAGCTAAATGTTAACTTGCTGGGTACAATGTGTATCGAGTTTACCATCTCAATTCAGCCTAGTAGCATTTGAGTATTATCAGCAATCACAACATTTACTACAATTCATCTTGAGGGAAGCATGAATATCTGTACCAAATGTAATACATTAACATTTAATAGTTGTTGATATAATTCAGTCTGGACAAAGTTTGTGGAGTGAGCCAAAACATTGTTTAATGTCCACCACAAAGCTAAGTCCTCCTGTCTAAAATGCAACCTGCTTCTGTTCAGGTACTGCCTGGAGAAAGAAGACCCCAGCGACTACGTGCTTTGCGATGTGATTGGACAGACGGGCGCAGACAACCAGTGGAAGAGGGAGTGTTTCCGGGTGGTGGGAGACAACGAGAAGCCCCTGTTGCTGCAGTCGCTTTGGAAACCCAAGGAAGGCTTCTCCAGGCGTTTTGAAATCCAGCTGAGAGCGAGTGTAGAAGAGCAAAGTCTAAAGGAGAGAGACACAGTCACCGCAGGTAAACACTTGGTAGCTGTAGAGTTTATCCCTCGACTTCTGCAGAGACGCCTACTGACCTTAAGAAGCACACATCTCATTATGACTGTACCAAACAGTTGACATTGTTGACATTCAAGTTCTAAATCCCATTTTTTTGTGTTTATATATCTAGTATATCTGCACAGTTGCATGTAAAAAAATATGCTATACTAATATAATTACAAGACAATATTTCTAGAATAAGATTCCAGGGGTTACTAGGTGTGCAATAAACAATTATCTTCTCAATTCATCGTTTGGTCTATTACATTTCAGAAATAGGGAAATTACATCCTTCGGGTGTTTGAAAGTCCAGGTCTTTAATTTGTTTTGTCAGTCACAAACCTTCAAATATTCAATTTGAATGATATACAATTCTACAGAGAAAATCAGTACATTTCTGTATTTAAAACAGCATTTTAAGACATTTTTGCATTAACATTTACTTTAAGAAGTATTAAAAAATATATTTAATTTCACCTATTTATCCATTAGTCTACAAAATAATTTCAGCTCTCTGAATCAATTTATAACATTATTAAGTGTGATGAAGAGACATTAGCAGTTTATCCCAAAAGCTCAATAAAAGCTTCAAATGTAAAAGATGTAGAGTTCAAACAGCCCTAATCCCACTATTTCAGGTACAATTCATCCCCCTAAGTTCTTCTTTACGCTGCCTGGGTAATCAATCACTGTCTGTGTTGTGGTGGCATGGGGAGCCTTTATCCTTGTCTCTTATTGCAGGCTAACAGCCTTCATTGTCCAGCTTATCACTGTCTAGAGCAGGGGAGATGGCAGGCATGTAAGAGAGGTCAGGAGGAAACCAAAGCTGCAGTGAGGGATACAGGAGCTTATCTTTGTTTTATTGCAAGGGCCCATCAGGACCTTGTGAAACATCCAAGCACGGGCTCTTCCCACCGGAGCTGCCAGAAAGTAGCCACTCACCGCTGTGTTATTCTTCCTATCAAAGCGCACTTCCTGCACACTGGTGCTGAAGCTCTGTTGACTTTGGCACAAGTGGTTGACTCTGCGTTAGACCAATACACTGGCTTTTTAATCAGTGTTTTTCTTGGTTATACTGCTGTTTTTCTCATTGCAGCTTTGTCAAAACAAGATATGGCTTTAAAACTGTATTTCTGTTGCATATTTAGCTTGTTCATTTGATCCTTTTGAGACACAATTCTGCATTTAAACTACGCTTGGAGTGATAACACTGAATAAAAGCACAGTTATAGCATAGTAGCGGTGGAACAATCCAAAAGAATCATGGTCCTGTTTGAATACACAAACCGTTGCAGCCCTATTATATATTGAAATAAGGTGTTAGTTAGCGAGCTATAGAGGTTCTTGTGAGTGCATTGTGTTAACATTGGGAAAAGCCATAGCTGTTTCCAGTCTTTATACTTAGCGAGCTAGCTGCTGGCAGTCGCTTCATATTTATTGTGCAGATATGTGAGTGCTGTCAAACCTCTCAACTATCGGTGTGAAAGAGAATTAGTCTGATTCCCAAACTGTTGAAATGTTCCTTTTAATAAATGTCATTATTGTTGTTTGAATGATTGGGGTTGGGAATTGCGAACAGGTTAAAATAGTTATATTATTAAGGAATCTTTAAGAAATGTATATTTGGATTCAGCTGCCTGACAGCCTTTACTCCCAGCACGTATGTGTGCGCCACTCAGAACTTGTGATTGGAAAAAAGAATGAACAGATCATTATTGAATTGTATTATTTAGTGTCCTATAAGGTCTTCAATCTGTTAAATGGGTTTCTGTTCATGTGTTCTGTTCTGAAATATAGACATTGGTCCACGTCAAATCCGCTTTCTCTCCTTGATCCTTTACCTCTGCAGTCAGTGTGAGTGTGTTAGGCTCTGAGCCAGTGTGTCAGGCTGCTGCTGAACAATGTGGAAAACACCCACTTCCACAGCTGATAAGGGCGTCAGGGCTGCCGGGTGTGAAGCCGGAGCTCGGTGGACATTCCTCGGTGCTTAATGGCTCCAAATGAGCTGAATAGTGTTTGTGTTACGTCAGGCTGACAGAGCGACTGCTGGTATCAGATAGAGGCGGTCACATCTCGCTTTCCCCCTGGTTGAATTGGTGCCAGAGTTACTATGTTTTATTGACCAGTCAAACTGTTGGCGTTGTAAATGCTTTGCTTATGTATAAGTAACAACAAAACATATTTTGTCCATTTTCTTCTCTTATTGGGTTTTCCTCCTTAATAATTTGATTGTGCTTTAGATGGTGATACATGGTTCTATACGTTTTTTATTTAAATACTAACAAAATCAATTGTGTCAAATGTATAAAGCTTGTCTTACTCGTGAAAAGATACATATATGATTTCCCTAGTATATTCCCCCAAGTGTCCTACATGCAAAAGCAAGAAAGCAATGAGATATTCTTTCATATTTGAAAAACGTTCAGCAATAAGCACTTCAATTATCTAAATGTGGGTTTTTTAAATCGTAACTTTTGAAATATGGAGAATTAGGGTAACCTATTGACTATCAAAGTTACACAGTATAGTATTGTGTATTTCCTTGACTATAAGCCATGTCTCCTTGGGCTCTCCAGACATCAACTGTATTGTTGTGATCATGCGGCAGTGTGTTTTTCATATTGTAAACAGTAACATGTACAATTCATATTTAACAATCTTTTTTTCTTGACGATACAGGCATCAATGCTCAGGCCCGTAAGCTGCAGAAGAGCCGCTCCAGAGTGACCTCTCTGTTTGTGGACGGCAGCGGGGAAGATGTGGACGGACTGGGGATCTGGAGGAGTCTCAGCGAGATGGATCTGTCTGCCATGGGGAAGGAGGCCAGCCGGGCCCAGCAGAGCGCGCTCAGAGAGGACCCTGAGGCCGAGGCCGACAAGGAGGTGCTGCGGCTCGGCATGGAGAAGGAGGAGACAGAGAGCAGCGATGACAACACCACCCAGTACTCCATTCACCCACCCTTCGACTTCCCATACTTCCTTCTGCTGCAGGGCTACAGCCACAGACAGGTGAGGGAGGGAGGGGGGGGTTGCCCAATCATTTATTTGCTATTGTGATAATGCAACATTTGAACCTTGATGAATAAATGCTAGATTAACGGTCAAAGCTCGGTGTTAGTTGGGCTGCAACTAAAGTTTCTATGGATGAAACCCTCCAATCATGACACTAATAGCAGTAATGTTTCCCAGAACTAAGACTGCATTTCCCATACACATTCTTTGCTTCTGTTTTTGCATTTTCTAAATGTATATTTATATTCTGTCTTGACGACTCGCCGTATTGAGGTCAGTCAAGACTCTCCTTGAGTCCTGGCAGTGTGTTGGAGGCTAACACAGGCTTATATGAGACAACAAGGTGTAACAGGAACATGAGAGTGTTGGATTGAACGTCTTAGGTTAAGAACCTTAAGGAGAAAATCCCAGAGTCAGAGAGTCATGTGGTCACAAGAGAGGAAGGAAACACTGGATTGTGCTACAGCAGTGTTGTGGGAGGGAAACAGAAGTGACCTCCTCCACACACTCAGGATGAGCTGTCTGTCATCATGTCCCAATGAAAGGACAAAGTGTTCACCATACAGTCAGAATGTTTCAAACCTGGAGATAACCCTGAATTAAGACACACTGGAATGCAGGATAAACTACAAAGAAACTATTCTTAACAAGGTTTCAAAGGGATAGTTTTGGTTTTATGAAGTGGGGTTATATGAGTTTACAATAGTAAGTGTGTAAGGACTGCAACCAGGGGCGGACTGTGAAGTCTTTCAAATACAATAACACAAACAAACTTACCGGTCGAGTCAGCAGTAGAACGACAACTCCTCTGTTTTGCGAGTTAAAATGACTGTTTTTTAATTGAGATTTTTAGGTAGGGATATATCAGGAGGTAACAGCCCTACCTTTACTGTACATTGCTGGCCACCGGCCTCTCAGAGGTTAGTGGTGTTGCTGTATCATGTCATGACTAATTGTCTTAACCCTAACCCTGAGCTCGCGGACATCACCAGCGTCTCATTCTTAAGCTCTTCTTTTCCGGTCTCGCCTCTCGCTGCCAGTGCAGGATGATCACGCCGCCGTTCACACCCACACTGCTGGTACATTTCCAAAATGTTACACAAGAGAATCAATCCCTGCCTACACGCTGACTGCCATTGGGAAAGAGGTTTTGCATCAAGCGTAACTCCTCACTTTGATAAAGTTGCTCTGATATCTTAAGATGTAACAGAAATCATGATTATATGCCCACTTTTCATCAAACTGTGTTTCTTGCCGTCTCAAAAACAATGGGTCAGTTTTTCAGTGTTTGATGGATTTCCTCTAATTGGACCATTCATCTTGAGTAGGAAGTTCCACCTTACTTGTTGCTGCGGGCTACTAACAATATTTTGACAAGATAACTATGTTTCACTTGGACATTTTCTTCAGTTTAACGACCCAGCTAGAAAACTACAATGACATTTAAAGGAAAACACTTCATTTCTATAGACATGGGAGCAGTTTGGAATAAATGATCTTTGCCCAAGGACACTTCAGCCTGTTGACTCATATGCTAGTATGTTTTGCAAAACTTTGTGTATCAATTTTACATTTTATTTGACGTTTTGTGGCCTTCCCAAAAACATGGAAGATTAACATTTCATTATTTTCTCTTAAACTTAGGCTTGAAAAAATGTAAAATACATTTTCCCCAAGACAATTCTCTGGATGGATGTGTTGTCCACATTATGCCAATCATTTTATGACATTTGTAAATAATGTATTATTTAAGTCATTTTTCAAGCAGAAAAACCAAAACATACCTGAAGACAGAAAGGGAGCTACAGCTTCTGGTTGTAAGGATTGGCTGCTTTAAAAAAAAATCTAATTTAACAGTAAACTTCACATCTTTGGATTTGGACTGTCGATCCTACAAAACAAAACCTCTGCAGACAGAAAATAGAAAATTGTGACGGCCTTTTTTTGACTTTATAAAAACTAGAGCATGAATGGATGAATCAAGACAATAACAGGCGAATTAAAGCATCATTTTTGGTCTCGTTGTTGCCATGAATTAAACAGAAGCCTTATTTTGCAGGATTTCGTCATCTACCTGATGAGTGGCACCACCACCATCTTCGGCTGCTGCAGGGCGCACTGTAACGGAGAGGACGAGGAGAGGCTGAAGGTGGACATCCTTCTCTTTGCTCCTGACGTGTTGCCTCAGCACTGCTGCGTCAGACGCCTGGACTCTAACACGGGGGAGCACAGAAAGACTTCGACCATGCTGAAGCCTCTCCACGGAGCTCCTGTGACCAGAAACGGATTCCTCCTTAAAGAGGAGGTTGAACTAAACCCGGGGGACTTGGTGGGCTTGGGGAAACATTACCTATTCATGTTTAAGGATCCTACTAGCACATCAGGGTCGCTGCAGACGCCTCCGTGGATGACCAAACTCTGCCCGAACTCTCACACAAAGACATCCTCTTGTTTATCGTGCGGCTCCAATATGGCCATCAAAAGGCTGCAGAGGAGGTGTTTACCGCCTCGATGGAGGGACCTGGAGGGCACAGAAGCTGTGGTGGTCTATGAGCTGGAGCATGAGGAGAGAGTGCTGCAGGAGGTGTTGGATATGTTGGACCCCATAGGGAATGAACCAAAGCTGACGCCTGCTTTCCTGCTGAGCCTCTGCATTCAGCACTCAGCCTTCACCTTCCAGCCCACGCACTTCAGACAGCTGTTGCTCCGGATAGCCGGGCAGATCCAGCTCGTTATGTGGGTAAGGATGAAGCTCTTACCCCAGATTCTTTCATGTGTATTCAGCATAGGGCTGGGAAATATTCCTTAAAGAAATCGCATCTATATTATATAAAGATAATGATAAATTATGCATTTTTTGTATATATTCGCACATAATCATACCAGCCATTCTTGTAAACTAATCTGAATTTTGATGGGAAACACAGTTCAAACATATATGACCTTTTAGATGGCTTTTAGTTTTGAAACTCCACATAAGAAGGTCATGATATTGACTGAGTGACACTGAGGTGGTTTGCTAATAAGTGCAATTAGTCTGTTGAAGTGTAATCGTTTTTATTACGTTTTAATTGAGTATCAAATCCATTCACGCCATTTTATTATTTTTTCTATAGTACAGTTTGCAGGCAGTAGTTCTTATTACTAGTCATGTATTATTCATTATTATATGATTAGGTGACTTTGGCTCTGAGGCAGTCTTTCAATTGGAGGATTGTGGGTTCGATCCCAGTCAACATGATGTATCCTTGGGCAAGATACTCAACCCCAAGTTGCTCCTGATGGCCAGCTGTGTGAGAGTGTGTGAATGTTAGCTTCCCTGAGCAGCCTTTGTGTCTGGATTCATGGCTGTGAATGGGTGAATGATGACATTTATATATACGCATTGCCAAAGCTCTGTACAATTGCCACATCCATACACAAATACACATTTGAAACAAACCGCTAAATTCTGAACATAGGCAAGAACAACATGTTTTTTTTTCGAGGGAACACAAGAAAGGAAAATTCAGGCAATTTATATAATACATTAATAAGAAAATAATAATAAAAAATAAAAAAAGACATGAGATGTGAGACCTTGTGTAGCAGGTCAGTCTTATTCCCTCATACTGTTTATTTTGCCCCAGTAATATTTTGAGTTTTTGATTTTCTTTTTCAAATAATTGAGGATGCTTACTATATCATTTTGAGAATAATTGTTGACGTACAGGTTGAACTTGTTGGCATTGTGTGAGGAGCTGCTGCTCTGTTTCCACAGCAGTTCCTCCCCACTGTTGGCATACTCGCTCCTCTTTGGCAGCCATGTTATCTTATACCTGCTGCCTGTTTCTATGGCCAGGCTGTGAGCACTCAGTCACTACTTTTAATTTTTTTGTTGCTATGTTTAACATCAGTCACTGTTGTCACTTTTCATTATCTAAAGACTCACTGAATAAATGTAAAATTACCGTTTTTAAACGCTCTAATAATAACGCCTGTTATACAACGTGGGGGTTGTTTGTTTCTTTAGAAGAGGAAGCTTGCATTTTCCATCAGTGTTTACAAACTCGACTCATATGAACTTACTTTGACACTTGACTCTTTTCTTTCTCGACGGCTGGAAGAAATTACTTGACATTTTGTACTAGCAGTACATTTACTACATCCCACATAGAAAGAGCACCAATACATCAACAAAATGTAATAGATTGCTCAATTCATATCAAGGATTATATTCCCCTATGAGTGGCAACGATTGTAAAGTAATCACGTTTGCCATTAGGGTTGCATTTAATGTTTACGAGGTTGTTGATTTTTGTTTGAATTTATATTTTCTTTATGTGTTCTCCCTCTTAGGAGAAGACAAAGGAACTTGCAGCGATCCAGCCAGAATCGTGAGTAAAACGCATTGTTTTTCCAAAGATACATAACATTGCCACAGAGAGAACAGCAGCTGATATACAACACCTCCAGTTTTCCTGTCTGAATAAAAGAGCAGTCAAAGTCTATTTTTAAAATGCCAGTTGTGAAAGGAGAGCATTTCTTTCAGTCATATCTATAAAATAAAGAACGTTTTTTTAGCCTTTATTTATACAGGTGAAAATCTCATTGAGGCCCCGGCCACACGAGGACGAAAACGGCTAAACGCATAGGATTAACGCAAACGCAAAAAAGCTTCCGTCCACACGCAATATTCACCGGATAGTGTCTGTCCACACGAGACCGCTCCGTTTAGCTCCAACCGCTGGAAAAGCTGCAGTACATATGCAGGAGCCTGTACGTGACGCTGTAACTTCCTCCACAAAAGCAGCGAAGAAGCATGGTTGTCATGGTTGCCCTTCTGTTTATTCTCCGCGGTGGGGGCCGAGGGAACCGGGCAGAGTTTTTCGCCAGTCAACGTGTATTAAAGTTTAATTCTTCCGGACAAAATTATAAAAGTGCCGGTCAAAGGTCTTCTTTGTGATTTATTGAGCTTTAAAACAAATGAATAATATAATAATAAAATACATGGAGCCTCTCTTTTTCCTCCCTCTCTTCGGACAGCGTCAGTGTCTGTTTCATGCAGCAGCTGATCCAGTAATGAGTGACCGGGCCGACAGCAAAAATAAACATATTTATAACTAGTTTAGGTAGTTTGAGAGGTGTCTCCGTCCTGTCAGATTAGACTTCACTCGCGTTTAGGTCCATATCGAGAGAAAGATAAATAATCTGAATTCAGTGTGCAGTTTACTTTGACGCGGGGGTGAGCAGCAGAGGTGGGCAGAGGCGGGGCTATTGCCTCATCATTATCAGAAAATGATCGTATAGGGCGCACACACGGAGCCGTTGGACTCCCCAGAGTGCTGCGTATGCCGTTCTATCACCTTGGGACCCGTTATCGTTTCCGCAGTCGTTTAGTGCCGTATTCGGTCGTCCTCGTGTGGCCGAACGGTCTATATGACACTAAACAGTAACACAAACGACCGTTTTCGTCCTCGGTGGCCGGGGCCTAAGACACAGGGTCTCATTCCCAAGAGAGACCTGTTTATACCCAGAATCAGCACTTTCGTAAGAGGAAGAGAAATAGAGGGATATGAGCCATGGCTAGAATGGGTGATCCAGTGGCGTAACAAAGTTGTGATTGGCCCTGGTGCAAATATTGTTTTGGCCCCACCCCCCATCGCCCCAAACATAAGCGCACGCTGATGCGCTCACACACGCACGGACAGACACAACCACTCATAAGCGCCACATGTAGGCTATCAAAAACAGCCTGCCCTGGCCTCAGACCACCACATCCTGAACGGCACAGCGAACTAATCACACAATCACTTTACAGAATTAATCGAGATTTCGAGGACGATGTATGACAAAAAAAACAGTCTAATTTCGTCAGTTTAGCCGTTACATCTCCTTGTTCTCTCTTGTCCTTTCCCTTTTGAGCGCCGCTCTTGTGCTTTGGTTTGCAGTACATTATAAATGCAAGCTATTCAATTTTTTATAATGCTGCTAAACTTGCTGCTGCTAGCTACAGTACCTATAACTTTTGAGGTTGATTAAACTGTTCGCTCGTCATGCAAGGTATCACATGACATGAAAGGGAGCAAGGTCATTGGACAGACAAATTACAAATTAATTGCATGGGCCCCTGGCCGGCTCTGGGCCCCGGTGCGTTGCACCGGCTGCCCCGTCGATAGTTACGCCACTGGGGTGATCTGTTTTTTGACCAAAACACTTCATAGACATGTTTTTTACATTTTTGTATATATCTGAGACCTATGCTATTGCCTAAAAATAGCATGATAGGTGACCTTTAAAGGAACTTCAAGTGAAGTTAACTGAGAGTCAAGTCCTGTGTCCCGGATATCTTTGTTTTACCTAAAAATATCTTACGATCTTAACTGTGTCATTATTTAAAAATAGGTTATGATTATAAAAATAGCAGGTTTCGATATTTCAATTCTGCAAAGAATTTAACACATGACTCACTTAATTCTGTTGTAACAACAAACAATATCTATGCAAGTTATTGCTCATTTGATAAGTGAATCTTTTTTTTTAATGTTGTTTTCGAGGTCTTGGTTCTTTCAAAAGCAGTGTCTTAAGTTTAAGTATAAAGTACCCATAATAACCCAACGTTTCTGCACATTTTCCAGATTAAAATATAACATTTGACACAAAACTAGTAAGACTTCACATGTATTATGTAAAAATAAGAGATGAATGCATGACTTTCCAGTTTTTCAGGTATATATTTTTGCGATAGGCATCATGATGATTATGTTTAAGTTATTATATTAATATATTATACTATAATTTAGTTTATGTGGTTGAAGATTTTTTCCTTTTTTATGTTAGTTTGCATTGCTTGGTCTCTGAGTGTGAGCTGTGTTATGATAGGGTGGATAAATAATGACTTTTCTTTGTCATTATCATTCATTTCTAATAATTTAAAGCAGTGATTAATCTGATGGGTCATTACATGATTAAAAAACCTTCAAACAGCGAAAAACAAGGTCGAAAATACTGAAATTATTGACAAATATTATGTAATGGTAACACTATGTATAGATTTCTTTGTCACGGTATGCATGGAAGCTTTATCTCCGTTCTGAACTCATCAATTCTGTGTTTTCCATCAGGAGCTCCAGGGACGGGCAGCCCGAGGACCTTCAGCTGCTCAGCATGGAAGAGCTGATCCCAGGTCTGCAGCCGCTGGTGCTGTGGATGGCCAACTCCATCGAGCTGCTGCACTTCATCCAGCACGAAGTCCCTCAGCTGCTGCCCTGGAGGCAGGACCATGAGGAGGAAGGTGCGGTGACAGCATGGCCTTTAACTTTATTATCATCTGGTGATGTGGTTTTAAAATGTGTTTGTGTGTGTTGTCAGGTCTGTTGGACTCTGAGATCTCCTCCACTCGGACAGCCTGTGAGGAGGCCATGACGGTCCTGGAGGAAGTAATCATGTTCACCTTCCAGCAGTCTGTCTACTATCTAACAAAGGTTTGCTTCCACACATTAATTTACTACTTTACACACAGGGCACACAGGGCACACACAGGGCACACAGGGCACACACAGGGCACACACAGGGCACACACACACACACACACACACACACACACACACACACACACACACACACACACACACAACACACACACACACACCACACACACACACACACACACACACACACACACACAGGGCCGTCCATGGCCAACTTGGGTCCCCAAGCGTCATTGTGAGACGAGGCCCCCCCCCCAACCGACAGGAGTGAAACAATTTTTTTGGAAACAAAGTAGGCTACTTTGCAAATATAATTCCTGTTATGATAATTATTATTATCAACACAGTTACTTTTTTATACAGTGAGGTAAATGGTAAATGTGCATGTATGTCGTTCAGTATGCGTTTACAGGTACGTCTGCATTTCCTGCCAAATACTAGCCTCTAAAAGATAAAAAATATAATTAATGCAAATAAACTACTTCTACTAATAATCATAATCAATTCAATAATATAAATACTATATTATTTTATTATAATATAGTTGTAATATAGTCAAGACAAAACATGCTTATGACATGCTCAAAAACTGATATTTCTTAAATCTGTATTCAAACGTAGTTCCCTCTGTCAGCAATGTATCAACAACTACACACACATTTCTATCAGTGTTTCTCTGTGTTGTGGTTGACATGATGATGACTGTTAGGAGTTAAGGGGAGAGGCTGAGCATCACCATGAAATGTGCAAATTGACATACAAATGAATATAAGGGGGAAAAATGCTCCATGTTTGTTAGGCTGTAAACTTTAACTGTTATGTAAGCCAAGTAGACAGACAGTGTATCACTCTTCCTCCTGTACATTAGCAGATAAAAGGCATCACATACTTGAATGAATGGTAAATAAAGAATGCTGGAAATAACTGCATCTCCATTAGCCTGTATGCTCTGCAGAGACTGCCTTCTTCATGTCGTGAATTGTAGCTGATGTTTTAATATGGCAATTGGCAATTTGCTTATACAACATTCACAAGTTGTACATTTGACTCATACAATAACCCACCTTCGAGTGATGCTCTAGTTTCTTCAAGTTTTGTTTTTTTTCCCTCTTGCTTGCGCCGGACTGAAACTGTCTTTTCACCGACATCTCTTCACCTGCACTAGTGGCCGTATCAAAGCCGTGATTGGTCAGATGTCGATTCATTGCAACGGTGTCGGGTTACAGACGTGCTCCCCTTGTCACCTCTCACTCTCGCGTGTCAGCAGGGGGTGCGCGGAGAACTGAGCGGAGAACTGAGCGGAGAACTGAGCGGAGAACTGAGCGGAGAACTGCGCACAGCAGCTGAGGCCCTTTGGGCGGGGCCCCCTGTGCAAGGCGGGGCCCCATGCAGCCTGCGTGATTGGCCTGTAGGGAGGGGCGGCCCTGCACACACACACACACACAAACACACACACACACACACACACACACACACACACACACACACACACACACATACACACTCATATATAGGGCTGAATGATATGGGAAATAATATAATTTCAATTTTTGCAGATTTATTTTAAGTTCCTTAAACACGCTTTAGTTACTTTTTAATTAATTTTTTTAACTTAATTTATCTAGGAGTATTTGCCATTGCGAGTAGGAAATCTATGTTGCAAGGGAGTCATGGCCAAGAGAGCAACATACATGAGTTTCACATTAAAGAGCATGCGACGGACGCCAAGTTGAAAACAAACAGCAAACTACATTTACATTAAAAAAAACATCAACAGCGATAAGACCAGCAGGAAATTCCATACATATGAAATTGGCTGTGTTCAGTAACAGTGTTCAGTATTCTTTCTTGCTTAAAAGGAAATCCAATTAATCTCCTGTATTATTTACCATACACAAACAATAAATTATCATAAGTTATGACCACCACAACATTGGATACAGTTTTGGGGATTGAATACCTATGTTTTCTTACATTGCAAGTCGATTTGGACCCCTGTATGTTTCATTTCCTTTTGACCTGTGAAATCGGAGTGTAAATCACATGTGAAGCAGGAAATTGGACTGTGTAAACACCATTTACTGTTTTCATTGAGTATATTCCAGAAAGAAAACACAATATCAGAATGGAAACACCAACTTTGTTTGGCATTCTCAGTCAGGAAAGGCCTCTGAGATAGTGAGCACAATCTTGTCTCCCAAGGTTTCACTGGTTTGTTGAATAACAAAATCAGGCTGATTCAGTGAGAACCACTGTATCGGAATCTAAAGATGTATTTGTCTTGCAGTTCTATTATTATATTTAAATTAGGTAAAAATATTTATGATGAAAAAGTAGTTTACAGTGGATTTAAAAGAAAAATTAATAGGTAAATAATTGGAACAGACAAAACGGGGGGGGGGGGGGTTACGTATGGTAACCCTAGTTATATAATCCTACACCCTCTTCAGCGAGCGGCATAGGAAAGACAGGGCCCCCAGGTAGAGGGCTCCGCCTGTGCTTATATAACTAGGGTTACAATACGTAACCCCCCATTATATTTCACACAGGCTCCGCCCTCTACTGGACTCTATGGGTACAGTGGGTGGAGCCCTGATGGATAAATGCCCTGTCGTCCTACAACATCGACCCATCAGACTGCCCCTGACCGGCCTTAACAGCCACCGCACCGCACCCCAACTTCCTCTCATCCGGTTGTGACCGTGGAGAAGTCGGGCCGCAGCTTGGATAGAGCACACTCACACACGCTTACCTCGTGTAGATTGTGCATGGAAAATAGTGAGGAAGGCTCTGTATGGAGTTTACTGCCCACCATGTTCCCCGAGTCCCTAAGGAGCATGGGAAAAACATAAGTGCACTATGTCCCAGGGGGAGGTCAGATACCTACTGACCCACACCCCCCACCCCCCATCTCACCATTCATGTGTTGCCCCGGCAAGCACAGACGATGAGAAAGAGCCAGACATCTCCAAGAGATAAAACCTTATGAAGGGGCCTGGCGTAGACCAAGACGCCGCTGTGCATATGGGGTCCGTGCACACTCTACACGGGGTATGGCTGTTGACACAGCCATACCCCGTGTAGAGTGTGCACGGACCCCAGTGGGGAAGGCTCTCCCCGCCCGTCCATAGGCATGTGAAATGCACTCGCAGAGACATCCTGTCAGGCGTTTCTTGGACAGAGCTTTACCAGCCACACCATCTCCAAAGCACACAAACAGCTGTTCAGTGCGCCTGATGGAAGCCGTGCGCTCTACATAACATGCCAGCGCACGCTGGCAGAGGAGGTGCAATTTAGCGGAGAGGTTGCCCCTGCTTCCTGAGACAACGCCCCCCAGACCTGAGGAACCGTCCAGGGCTGGCCCACCATCATCTGTGTCACCTCTGCGTACCACGGCGCCAAGCGGCGACCTGCGGCCACTAGGATGACTGACAGACGTTCTCGTCTCACCCTCTCCAGGAGCCCTTTCTTCCTCCAAACGACTGAAGCGTTATGTGACCGAGGTGATTGATCCGAAGAGCCCTTACGTGGATACGCTGTGTCCGTGCGGCCCTGCACCCTGAGGATTCCCGCCATACCAGCCACTGAAGCCCTCGTCTTCAGTGGGTGCCGCCACGTCGCCTCCACACACTGCCAGATATCTGGCAACGGGGGCGAAACAAAGGCCGGCTGCGCCGGCTGAACCGGACCGTAGAACTCCTGACGGAGGCGGCTCACCGGCTTCGGTGGTAGTGGTGGGGGGAGCGGTAGTCCTACACGCTCCGCCGTCATGGCCATCACCAACGGGAAATCCTGACGGGAAATCCTGACGGGCAGACCTGCGCGGTGGACCCTCATGGACGCCGGACCCAGAAGCGCCCGACACCGAGAATTCCTCGTCTTCTTCCTCCTCGACAAACGGGGCCGCCCGGCCCGCCCGAATGGCAAATACAAACGGCACCTCCCCGGCCACCTACTGGTCCTCCATCTCCACCACCTCGAGTTCCTCCTGGTCCTGCACCTCGTCCGGCGAGACATAGCGTGCCTGGAAGTGCTCCAGACGATGCTGGCGTCTGAGCCGCAGGAGCGAACGGCAGGCATTGCAGGACGGGGAATGTTTTACGCCATCCACAGCGTGGTCAGGCCACAAACACTCGAAACAAAGGCGGTGGGGATCAGCGCCCACAATTAAGCCAGGACATGTAGGGCAAGGCCGGGGCTCAAGGAGTGGTGAATCCATTACTTTTCTTAATCTTTCCTCTTCTCACGTTTAGCTTTTCAGTTGTTTGCTGCTCGCTGAAGAGAATAAGGATGACAGTCGGGAGGCGTAGCCGCCTTATATACTGTGGGCCTGCGCGCGCATTCAGGTAGGCTCGCCCCGATTGGCCGGCTACGTTTATGCAACTCAGTATGTGAATGCTCGCATAGCATCGTAGAGAGTAGTACCCATAGAGTCCAGTAGAGGGCGGAGCCTGTGTGAGATATAACAAGATCTGAGGATTGATGTGGGATAAGACGCGACTCTCAAACGTATTCCAGACAAGGGATGTAGAATTGCAAAATGTATAACTTATTAACACTTTTTCTGACTCATTCCTGCAACACTCTATAACGTCTAAAGCATAGGCAGACTCACAATCAGGGGCGGACTGGCCATTGGGAATACCGGGAGTTTTCCTGGTGGGCCGGTGCTGTGCGTGGGCCAATTATTATTATTTTTTTTGCCTAAATCCTACCGGCCCACATTTGTCAGTGTTCCGGCCACTCCCTTTTTTGTTTTTTTGCTTACCTAAATCCTACCGGCCCACATTTGTATGTGTTCCGGCCACCCCACTGGGCTGGGCTGGCCGTTCTGATAGGCTACCTATGTTCTATTTATCAGTTCACACATCAGGCCCGTAGCAGCTGTCACTAAAAATAAACAAGCCCCAAAGCGTAAAGGCGTTTTTGTATAGTTTGTGTATACAGTATACAGGATTGTAGCGAGCCCTGGGTTCAGAGGGAGGGGCTTGCATAGGGGAGGGGGGGGTTGGCAGGGGAAACGGGGTTCAGGGGGAGTGGCTTTACCCGTAGGATAGAAAAGGGGGAAGTGACTCAGAGGTCGCGCGGCTGTGGAGAAGAACGTGTTGCCCACATTCTGTTACTGAGTTTAGGCTAGTTAGCTAGCAGGTTTATTGTTTTGGGTGCAGTCACTTTTGCCTCCACTTGCTGTTCAAATAAATGTTGAAAGAAAAAGTAAATCTGTTCATATGGGTGTTGAGAGATGTATCCATAGATTTAGTCCCTAATTTTGGTCTCAAAGTGCACCAGATTGATGCATTTAACTTCAACATTTAAAAAAAAAATCTTCCCGGGGGAGCATGCCCCCGGACCCCCCTAGAGGAGGTTAGGTCCACCACCTGCCCACACCCCCTGTTAAATTCTCTCACCCACATTGAGGATGCTTCCTACGCCCATGTTTTATTCCATGTGTCAAGTCAGGCAAATTGGGTCCAGATGTTATTGCATCAATGATCTGTTAATATTAAAATCACTAAATATATGCTGTAACTATTTTTCTCTAGGCAACACAAGGGCTCAGGTAATGTGATTACTATATGAATAATGGTCCAAAATAACATAAAATGCATAGGGTTTTTTGTTAAGCAACATACTTTCGTCGCCAGCCGGCCGATACATGCCGCGCATTAAGTGGGCCTGTCTGTCAATTAATCCCCGGGCCACTTTTCCCCACCAGTCCGCCCCTGCTCACAATGTCATAAAGTTGAAGAAGCACAATTAGAGATTTAATTATTTCTTATTCAAAGCATTATCTGTTACTCGCCTACATTACCCACAATGCAACTTTGTTAATTGTTGCCAGGGCAACAGCTGTATTGTAAGGTCAACATTATAAGTGACACATGTTAACCTCTTAAACTCAGAAAAACTCACTCTGACTAACACAAAGCATTTTCATCACGACTTTTATCCCCCGAATAATGAAAAGACAGAAGTATCAAAACATGTGTTGCAATGAACAGGTTGTCCTTCCTCTTTAGTACTCGGAAATAATAATGTGGACTTCCTTCAGAAACAGAGAGATATGGGGATTTTTGCAACAACATGGGTGCGAGTCTACAGGCTTTGAATCTCTAAATTCACAAGCTCAAGAGAATGTTAAACAGCTGGCCAAGTTTAGAGGACACATTTAACACATATGTTGAAAAAGCCTGACAAGGTCTGTGGTTAACACAAATCATTTAACATTTATTCTAAAGCATAACATATGCTTAGCGGTGCACCATCCCATTTTGCTTCTTATAGCTTATAGTCTTTCTCTTCAGTGTTGTTGACATGAGCCATATGACTTTGGTGTAGTTTGTTTTTCCTTTACGTTAACAGTCTTCTTAATTTGTTTTAATTATCCTGGGGCCTAAGATGGAGCCTTGGGGTTCACCACAGGAAGCACTTACAATGTATACTACTTACCATCAAAACTGCAAAACGCTTACATAGACTTTGATTAAGACCTTTCAGAGACTAGAATTTCATTGTAGTTATTGTCTTGATTTGCTTTGGTGACAGCCAGCGGTGCACCGTCCCCTTTTACAGCCCAACTGAACACTCCCAGGCTACATTTATGTGACTTTCCCATGTTAAAGAGGATTATAAAAGCCTGTCTGGTTCATGCAGAACATTCAGTCAACATTACTGCAGCAGAGTCTTTAGAAACACCAACACCCTGTACACTGACTGTTTGAGAAAGGGAAGGAAGGAAGCAGGAAATGTCTGTTCCCTTAATTTGAATACTCAGACATATGTACTGCTTTTTTAAGCAAAACAATAGCGTGGCAGTTCATGGGGCATTTTCTGAGACAGTTTTGCAGTCCATCACGGTTTTTTTCTTCTCACATTTAAGGCTTCTTAATCAAGCCGTTTCTGCTTTGATAAGCTTTCAGAAGCATTGCAAAGTGTTACTGTGTTTCTGGTGTAAAGAAAAGGAGGATCTGATTCCGGCAGAGGACGTCAAACTGTCATCAGAGGAAGGGAGGGGGTTTTTCTGTTGATTTCCTGTGAAATGTGACTCAGTGTTCACAAGTATACATACATCTTACCATCAAGTAGTTTTTTTCTTCTGGTAAGGTATTTTTAAATATAAAATATGAATAAAACGTCGCAAAGGACTTTCATACAGATGGTAAAACAGCACACAAAAAGAACGAATACACTAAAGAAAATGTCTAAACATCCAGATGTTTTTTTAACAACTATTCACCTTTTTTAAAAAAACAAAACAAGATAACAGATTTAACAGATCTCCGTGATAACAGCCCCCTGGAGATTTGCAACGCTTCAGCGATCTGTTCTCCAGGCATGGGGTTATTGGTGTCTTTATGGCCTCTTTCAGTTTGTCTGAGGTCATTATCTTCATGGTTTGAGAGTGAGAGTGTGTGTGATGTCATGCTATGTGAAACAATGGCAGAACTGTTTTAGAAGAAAGGAGTAGTGATAAGAGCCGGATCTGTGTGAGCGCTGACAAGTGACAATGAGGTGATACAGATGATCCTTCACCAATTGCAGTTCGCTGTCTTACATTTTTTTTTTTTAAACCTTGGATATTCTTTGAATTTGAAAGTGGTATGATATTTAATGAAAATTACATTTAGTTTAAAAAACAAAAACATTTGCCTTTCAAGAATCAGAAATGTTCTTAAAGAGATTCAAGTGTCAAATGACTGAGAAACAAATTTTGTACACACATTTGGATCAACCTTATCAGACACTTCTTGGCTTTGAAAATGTATGACTTAAATGAAAAATGCAAAGAGGAGGCCAAACTTTTTAGCATTGACTTAATTTGTTTATTTTTAAATAAACATATTTCTTAAAATATAATGAGCAATGACAGAACACAAAGCAAAGTTTGCAGGAAAGCTCTTTGATTCATTATGTTCAGTACCACACAAAAACAACATTATTTTCCCACTGACTTCCTGACACTCTACTACTTGATATAATCAGGAATTGTGTGAAAGTGATCTGTTTCACTGCTCTACTCCCATGGAGCATCAGCATTGGTTATCCAGTATATTGTAGAGCATGCAGAGAGGTCAACTGTCTCCACCTCTCTCCACAGAGCATGTATTCAGCCTTGCCCGGGCTTCTGGATGGGAACCCGTTCTCAGAGAGCGGCCAGCTGCGAGTGCCTGATGGACTGGGCGGCATCCTGGAGGTGCTGAAGGAGGCGCTGAAGATTCTCACAGCCTTCCAGGTCCATCCAGACATCTCGTTACAACTCTGTGCCTACCTGTTCTTCTTCATCAACGCATCGCTGTTCAACGCCCTCATGGAGAGAGGTGAGACTTCTGCTCACTTTCCCAGCATTAAGATACCCGTTTGACTGGTTTGGCTCTTGTTTTAAGTTTGGTTTGGACTGAAATAGCTCAACCACTAGAGGATTAATTACTGTATAATTTAATAGAGGAATCATTTACTTTAATTTAACTTAATGATCCTCTGAATTTTCAGTTTGCGCCACAATGAGTTTAACATTTGTAGTTTCAAGTAATTTTTTTGATAACGACAGTATTAAATGGTTCATTCATGTTTTGTTCCGGATTAAATTGAATAATTGATCCTGATGTTTCATCTAGCACCTTTATCATATCAAAGTTTTATATTTCATGACTGGTTAATGACACATTTTCTGCAAATCTGACGATATACTGTACCCATTGGACTCAGCTCTACACTGTGTTTAGGGCTAATTTGCAACATTTTTGAATTCGAACAAGTTTAACTAGGAAAGTGCACAAAAACATTAAATACAAATCAAATATAATAAATACGCCTGTAATGGTTATTATATAGAAATATAGTTAAAAGGTGTACAAATATGAAAATATAAACCTACAAAAATCATTAGTTCAAATATGATCATTATTGACATGCACCATGCATTTATGTTGGTTTTTTACATTATTTATGAGAAATTGTATCTTGAGACTTTGCAATAGGTACACTTATTGTTATGTTTTGTTCTTTTTTATGCATGTTTGTTATGTTGTTATGTTTGAATGAAGTGCATTTTCTAATAAAAACATTTGAAAATCTTTCATTTCCAGCATTTAGAATTAAGAACAGTTTTGCATTTCAATGTAACTAGGCTAATAGCATAGATACTATTCTATAAGTGCTATTAAAACGTATTTTTTAGCACATCGTACTTGGTTGAGCATAATATAGGTTGCAAATCAATGTCATCTCTGATTTTAAACATGTTGTTTTTCAGGATCTGTCTCTGGGTTCTACCAGTGGTCCCGAGGGGTTCAGATCCGGGCCAACCTTGACCTGCTGATGGATTGGATTCAGGGCATCGGACTGGGCGATCTGGCAAATGAATTCTTCCAGAAGCTTTCTGCTGCTGTCAATCTGCTGGCCACACCCAAAGAAACCCTCCTGCAGGTCAGAGGACATCCGTTTCTCCTTTCCTGTTTGTCTCCTTGTGGGGGTAGCCTCGAGGGTCAACTCATGTTTGCGTCAGCATGAATGATTTCATTGTCTTAGTAATGTATGTAATGAACCTTCCCCCTGCTTACATGTAGCTACTTCTCTTTTTTATAGCCTCTTATTTTCCCCAAACCATGGTGTAAAGGTTGTGGAAGCCTATTCATTGTTATAGTTGAGCTGATTTACATCGATCCGATTTGAGTAAATGGCCTTGAGGAACAAAGTAAATAGACATAAGTTATCAAGACATGATTTCCTGGTGACAATGACGGTTTGGCCATCACTTATTCTACTTACAGTATAATCCTAAGGACCTGAGTATATCCTGTTAGCCAGAGTTTGTATGCATGCATGGATGTCACTGAACAGGCCTTCTTGCACAGACCAAAGTGCCTAAGGTGTACTGTACAGGGGCGGTTCTAGGGGGGGGGCAGTGCCCCCCTAACACTGACCTCTGACCCCCCTGTGGCCCCCCTAACAATGACATTTTTTTTTTTAAATGTATATTTTCTGGTACTCGGTTTGCAAAAAACCGCAGGATTTTGTTGCTGTAATGTGAGATTGTGCAGACACCCTTATGTAAAGTAGAGATGTAACTGTTCATTGCCTTTATTTTTATATAAATATGGTGTTAGTGCAAACATTGCACTATAACTTAAGCTGAAGCTAACAGTAATAACTATAAGATCTATCTGAAATAAATAAGTGTACTGAAACAAATACCAATAACTGTATTGCATTGTTTTCTTATGCGCAATTACTTCATACTGTCTAGTTCTCTTTTTCGTCCTGCATTTATTGTGCCCCCCTCAGAAAATAACTGGCCCCCCAGTTGCCCCCCCAGTCAAATTGGTCTAGAACCGCCACTGGTAGTGTAGGTGCAAGAAGACTATAAAGAGAGGCCACAGAGACTTAAGGAGACCACTCAGGGAATCTAAAGGACTATGATAAGGGATATAAAACCCCCACAACTATAAAAAAAGCAGATAAGAACCTCAGACTGGAAATAACTGGAAAAAATGCCATTACAATGAATCTACAAAGGGACAAAAGAAAAGCAGCAAAGACACACATAAGGATCATCTAGAGACACAAAATGACTAATGACTGTTCAAATGTAAAACAATTTGGCCAGATATTCAATTTGGAATCCATAGAAATCTTTTTAAAGGGGCCCTTTCATGTAAGTTTTCAAGTTTCATATTTGTATTTTATAATAATAATAATACATGGGATTGTTATAGTGCTTTTCCTAATGCTCAAAGACGCTAATATAATATGTAGTGTCTACCGGGACATGTCTCCATGCTTTAATGTTCAAAAAGCTCTTTATTTGTCTCATACTGCCTGTGCTGCAGCACCTCTTTTCACCCTCTGTTTGAAACCAGAGCCCAGTCTGCTCTGATTGGTTAGCAAGCCGGCTATTTTGTGATTGGTCAACTGCTTAGAGAAGTCCCGCCCCTTAGCCTATCACTAGACGTGTGTTGCAGTGCTAGCCAATAGAAGCGAGAGTGTTACAGAGTGATGTCACTATGTTACAGAAGTAAATAAAGGAGTCCATTTTAGGCGTTTCAGGCAGGGGGGAGTGTGTGGGAGAGAAACTCCCTCTGGAGGGAACACATTGATTTTAGCATTTTCATACGATTTACATGAATAATAAAAAATAATCACACACGACAGGAACAGGACAACCCCAAAAAGCATAATAAGGCCCCTTTAAGATATTCCAGCTGACCGAGAAAGTTAATTTAAGGTTGACAGGAATCTGATCCGTGTCAGTGGGATTGACTTACTTTAAGTGTAGGAACTAGGTAATACAAGGCTCAGTTTTACCCACCTGTTTCCACTATATGACTCGCAGTTGTACCAGCCTGAAACATCTCCGGGGCACAAACCAGCACCCCCCCCCTCACACAGCTGTTGGAGGCTGTGTCTCGTCTGTTCGTGGGATTGGAGGGTTGCTAGGAAGCTGGTGGTTTTATGTATCCCTGCCCTGGCATGAGGTCACTTTGTGGCTGCTGCAGCGGAGCACACACCCTCAGCATTTTCCATCTGGAGTAGTTCTGGGCTTTTAAAAAACTGAAGTGGCAGAGTTGTAAATTACACGCCAGGGATGTGGCGTCGCCTGTTTTGCCAGCAGTTATGGAGAACACAACATCTGAGGAGTTATTTTAAGTGGGAATAAAGCTGCCAGACATTAAATGTCAGACTATACTGACATTTTTACATTTCTGCTGCTTTAATGAGCAGCATTTAAATGCTGCTTTAATGAGCAGCATTTAAATGTCACCTATGCTGATCTCACTGTGGCGTCTGTTATAGGAGAGCAACAACAATTCACTTCTAGTTTCTATTGTGGCCCCAGCATGTCTGGGCAAAGTCCTGCTACCTTCAATTCAACTGGAAACAGACTGAATGAACTACGTAATGTGTGTAATAATCACATGAACGCTGCTGGCCGGTGACTCACCTGTTGCCTTGTCCTCCAGTTACTTTCTGTAGTTATCAGATGGTCACATCATGTATTTCTCCAGTGTGTTATATTTCCTGATAAGAAACCTAAGACGCTGCTGAGAATGAGATGTTTACACTTCTCACGCTGCACAGAACCAGAATGACGTGTTAATTATAATGCAGGAGTGCAGAGTGAACACAGGTATGCAGCTTTTAAGAAAAGCTGTAATGATATGAAATGACTTCAAGTGCTTCTGTATTTACATGTGAGAAATATTTTCCCAAGAGGTTTTGTTACCGCAGAGACAAAGGCTATTTACTAGATCATATCATTGGTTTAAAATACTCCACATGCAAATGAGAGAGTAGCAATGACTCCGCTTCCTTATATGGAAACAAGCATGATGGGAAAATACTTGTTGCTCCCTCACTGTCATCTCACAATAAGCCTTTGTGACTCGTTCTTTAAGCTTTAAACATCACTTTAAAATCTTTTGTTTTAGCTCTTGTGCCTCACTTTGAAAACGTTGCTCTAATTTACTAAGAGTACAGGACAGTCTGAGTATCAAAAACCTTTCATTAGTATTTTTCTACACTTTCACTAAGTTCAATCTTTTAAACAAACGTTAATCCTGATCATAACTATTAAACTGCATTATTTTTCATAATGTCGACCTTTTAAATGTCAGTTTGTTTCAAATTTTGTTATGAATAAACCTGAAAAGAAAGGTCACTTTCAATATATGAAATGTTAGAAAGATTTTTTGATTAAAGGTGGGGTAGGTAAGTTTGAGAAACCGGCTCGAGATACACTTTTTGTTATATTGCATGGAATGCTCTTAACATCCCGATAGCAATGAATATCTGAAGTGCTTTGACAAAAAATCCATTAAAAACATCATCTGTGGAAGCCGTGGCGCTGTAAAAAGCACGGCCAATCATCTGAGCCGGCCAAAATAACTGGATGCCCTACCTGCCTGTCAGCCTTCCATCTGTGCACAAACTTATCTCGTGCCCTCATTGGTCATGTGCGCGTTCGTGTGTGTTGGAGGAGGGGCTCTGTAGGGAAGTGGCAGATTTTTTCCGGCTGTGTATTTTCAAATTCTAGCGCACTCGAGCTGGTTTCTCCAAAATTACCTACCCCACCTTTAACAACACCATTCTGATTTTGATTCTTTTTGGGGCTGGAAACCAGGAAAAAGCATGTATTTTCCCAGTAAATGACACATCAGAAAATGACTCAATCTGGTGGAAAATGATTAAAATAGTTAGTTGAAACCATACGTGGTTTCTTGCTGAACTTTGATCAACCATTGCGGTTAAATTAGGTTCTAATTGGGATATTTGTTTTCCTCTGTCTAGCTGTCTGTATTTGGGCTACATACTTTATTTTAGACTTATTATAGGAGCTGATTTATTTGTTAAACTCTTACCCTTCTTAATTGTTATACTAATATACTTCAACACTCCCAAAATGTCATCTAGTGAGGCACAAGGGTTACGTTTGGTGAAGGTTAGAATAACTCTCAATGTTTTACTTGTTGTTTCATGTCCTTCCAGGCGTCCTGGACTTCTCTCCGGACAGAGTTCTCTGCCCTGAATGCTGCTCAGCTTCACCACACGCTGAGGGAGTACCACTCGGGTAAAGCCTGTCCTGCAGGATGGACCCCGACTCTGAACGATGCAGAGCTCGCTGTCAGGACCGGTGAGTGACCTAAACCATCCTAAAGATAATCCATATATTTAGTGACATAAAATATCATCTGCAAATATATTTGCTGGTTGTCACTTCCTCCCAAAAGGCCCGATCTCATGTTGTAATGAACTACAACTAATTATAATTAAAGTACCTTAACACTGACGCTTGTATGCACCTTTAAGCGGCAGCCTCCCTCTTAGTCTTTGTTTACCTACAGAATAATCCTGTCAGTCTGTCTCCACCAATCAGCTCTCGCCCACGCTTTCCTCTCAAATCCGTCTTTCCGCCACGCTCTCACCTGCTTCCACCTCTTAATTGATTCAGGTCGACTCCATCCTGCTACGTAAAATAATAATACCCTCAATTGAACCAGCGTTATTCCTAAACTTTATTTACCGCTTTTAATTAGATGTTAAAAGGATAGCTGGACGTCCTGAAGTGTGTTTTGTATGAGGTGCTTAGCCTTACTTACAGTAGAGGGCAGTTGTTTGGACAAATAGACATGTGATACAGCGTTGAAACAAAGTGGGCAGGGGAGCTGCAATACACATTTTAAACAGCTACAAAAATGACGACCTTGAAATAATAAATATTAATTTATGTGTGTGCTATATTTAGAATATGTTCACTGCATCATCTTGCAGTCAGACAGCCCTTTCTGATGGGGAACTGAATCAGTAATCTGTGTTCTCTTCAAAGTGAAGCCCTACACCAGACTCCATTGACAATAACAGTCATTCTCATCAGTTAAATCTGCTTCAATTAGTTCGTTTTTTCTCAATGGACCGTGTGGCCTTAAGAGGGCATAGAACAGCTTCATCTCTCTAGGTAATATAAAAACAATCCAAGTATCCTTTTAACCCAACACAGCAGCTTTACTTGAAAGTTTAAGGTTTGAATTTCATTAGAAGGCTGTTATGAAGCTTGGGGTCAATGGTGACGGCTGACCTTCTCTCCGTCTGCAGCCGACATCCTGGAGAGCTTCGACAGCCACCCACCGCTCATCCTGCCCAGCAGCACGTTTCATCTGGAGCTTGGTAAACCCGTGGTGGAGCCCGCTCTGTTCGAGCAGCTCGGCCATCTGCAGGAGTTCATCCGCCGACTCCCCCGCAGTGAAACCCAAGCCGAGTCCGATGTGGAGGAACAGGTAACAAGCTCTCTGACCTCGGAGCAGGAAACGAGACACCTTAATGTTTCAACATCTGTTATTGATTGACTTAATGTTCCTCAGGCAACCCCAGACAGCCAGTCTACGACCTCGCCCTCCGTCACAGTCCTCCAGGACCCTGCCCATCAGGAGGTGTCTGACCAGGTTACCAGCTCGGACCTTGCCTCCCCTGCAGAGCCGTCTCAGGCCCAAGGATCTCACGGTGACCTGAGGAGCTGTGAAGCAGTCCTGACCCAGAAGCTGAAGAGCCTAGAGCTGCAGAACACCTTTCAGGGAGGACAAGTGGACATGGGCTACCACAAGAGCCTGGCACTGGACCCGTCCTGCCTGCTGACCCCACCCAACACCCCCCAGGGCATGGAGCTGTCCGAGCTGGAGGCTGATCTGCGGGAGGGGGCACTCCAACAAAAAAAAGGTAACTTAGGGGCAGAAGAATAAAGATCTGCACACTTCCTGAAAGATCACTGTATCTTATTCAACAAAGAGAAACCTACTATTGGAGACCTTTGTCTGGCATTGTCATGTAAACACCGTAGAAAATGGGGCATGAATGAACTTATTATAGCAAATAGGGAAATAAACCAAAGAAATAATAACACTAGAGACTTTATTTGCGATGGCATCAAGCCAGGGTCGAAGCCATATGTAATTAGTTCCCCACCAGCACATGGTGCCCTATGCTAGACACTTGTTTACGTAGTGGAGAAATACTTTATTAACCAATCAATTTACATGTCACATACATATGTGTTCATAAAAGTGAAACTGCCTTCAGCTGATTATTGATGAATGATGACAAGGACTAATTGAGCTATTGAAATATTCTAATTTCAATCATTTGCAATCCTCTAGTCATTTTAAACCTTACATAATAAAAAAATAAAGCAAATTCAGGTATTTATTAGCATGCAAGATCATTGATTTTGACCACGGTGTACCATATCAATGGGGGATCAACAAGTGTGAATGTTAGTCTGGAGCGCTGCTTGAAAAGATTATTTCAAACCACAAACAGCTGGAAAACATTAGCTGAAACCTGGCAACAGAAGATAATACCTGAGTGTGCACGTACAAAGAAAACTACGAGACAAACATTAAACCACAAAGTCAATTATTCCCTGTGTCTTCTATTATAGCACTTCTTAATTATTATCCATTTTCCCCATCAATGAATTCATAATGTTTTATATCGAACGTCAGCGATTTGTGGAGAATCACAATGTTCCATGGCTTTATTATCAAATACATTTTATTTTTCACAAGTAAAACAGGATTTTTATTTTTACACCTGACAATCTGGATCCATTCAAGGTTTCAGCCCTGCTTTAATGTTTTCTTTTAAAGGCTCAAACAGCTGGCAAACATTAACTGAAACCTGGCAACAGAAGATAATAACTGAGCAAGCGTACACGTACAGAGAAACCATGAAACAAAGAGTAACGGAGAAACCAACAGCTTCTCAAAAGGCTCATTCATGGCTTCACTTACACAGCAGGTTTTGATTCAGATGACACACAGCTTTGTCACTGAGAACGCGTCCGCCTCAATTCAACTCCTGTCCCGTTACTGACGCCCACAATGAGGTCACCTCTTAAACGCGCTTCAACCTCCACTGCCTCGACCTATTAAGGGAACTTTTTAGTGACTTGACCTTCAGGGACCTGCTGCATATTTGCTCCAAGTCCACATAAAGGTATTTCACATAAAAGAGGTGCAGCGCCTTCATCTTCTCACTGACTGTGGGGGTCAGGAATTTCAAGTGGAAGGCTTTGCAGGGCGGGCCACTCTACAGAGGAAAGAGTGTTTCCTCTCCCACCTCTATTGTTTTTAGACGCCTTCATCATGAGGTCATCCGTAGGAGGAAGAGGGAGTCATAGTGAGAGAGGACTACTTTACTTTTTGTTTAACCAAATGATACTGCAGGTATTTGGACGTATCTGTGGAAACAGAGGGGAAAAGTTCTCACAGCTTTCTCATTAGAGGAATACTTACACCCCCCTAAAACAATTGCTTTCATATAAATAACTCAACCCTCGTTACCTTGAATTCTTGGCATGCAACCCTGCATGGTGAAAGAATAATAAAACAAATTGTATTTTCAAACTGTAAATTCAAGTAAATGCGGCACGTGCTTAACAACAGCATAACTAAACCAAGACAAGGGAACATGTGCTGAGCATACAACTGAACAAGGATAATTGGATTATAATATAGTGAATAAGTGCTGTGAGGTTGTCAAATAATATTTTTGTATATTTATTGTGGTTGACAGCTTTTCAAATAGTTTTGATCCTGTGACACAGAGTGAGTCATTGATATGCTAATAGTCATTTTGTGGTAGGCGGAATGACCTCCTGTAACACATTTTGTCTGTTTAAGCAGTAAAAAACACTTCCATGAGGCGGTTCTCAGCAGACTGATCACAGTCAGTGAACTTCACATTTCAAAATAATGTCAATTTAGTATTTAATTCATTGTATCTGAATATATGAAATGGGTCAATTATACTACCAACATCTGTGTTATCACTGCTGAAAATGAAGTAAAACCACAACATTCACACTGTGTATGTGCAAGTTGGCCCTCCAGGGAAAAACTAAATCAATAAGGAAAAGAGTAAGGAAAACATTTAATAAAAATAACATTATATTTATAAAAAAAATAAGAATAAAAACATACAGAAAAAATAGAGCACTTGATATGCAAAAATGTATACACATATATTGCCAAAAAATACACAGATTATTATTTTATATATATAAATCATATTTATGTTCTTATTATTTTACTTCTTTTTTTTATGACACCCCTATGTCAATACAAATGAGTACCAATCAAGCAACATCCAGGGTCAAAGTTGAAATAATTTGAACTCTGAGCGCAGTGCTCTGCGACAATTTTGCATGACGTTGAATAGAACTCTCCTGTTTCCATAGAAACACTGCCAGCGCCCAGTGATTTCACCTTTAATCATGTGTAGACAGCTTAAGCATCAACAAGCTGATTTCTTAATGAACTTATCTTAATTGTAGTGCAGTGTACACAGCAGAGAGGAGGCTCTTTCTAACAAGGCAGGTTGTACCAGAAGCGCTCTCAGATCCTAATGAGACCTTCTGACACATTTTTGGTCACATGTGAGCGTGTTTGTGTTTAAGAGTTGGCCCTGTGTTAATGCGCTCCCTCACAGAGCTCCCACTGTGGCAGAAAGGCTTTAAAGCTGGAGGATTTTGTTGATCCTGATCAGGTGGCTTTACTCTCATTGGTTACTTGTTGCATTACGTTTTCTCTGTTCGTGCCTTTCATAAAAGTCATTTGTTGAAAGGGTTTGAGGATTACATTGGAACAAAGCCATCTGGCTCTAATCTCTGGTCATCTGTCCTAATTGGCACTATATTTAAGAGTTTCATACAACCTGCACACCTACAATGTATGTAGTAGTGCAATGATTATGGAGTTGGTGTTAGAAATTGCATATTTTCTTATGTATATCATTTTTTATTTCATATAATATTTATTTAGGTTAAGGATTTATTAAGATTATTCACTAATCAGCAAAATAATCAGTACATCAAAATATAATTTTTGACAATTTTTTAACAAATTAATACATAATAATAAGTTAACAATTAACAAATTCAATATTTAATACAAAATATTATAAAATACATAATTAATAGATTTGTTCTAGTATCTATATGATATAATAATAAATATAATAATTCTTGTTTGTTTGTAGCCTTTATTTAACCAGGTGAAGCCCCTTGAGATCAAAAGATCTCTTTTTCAAGGGTGACCTGCAGGACATTAGTTACACATGTACAGTAACATAAAAACAACAGAACAACAATAAGGATGACATACAACATAATGTACAGGGTACAGTTTACAAACTCTATTTACAGAGACAGGTACCATGAGTATCAAACAGCATGTCACCCAGCTGAGTTTTAAAATGATGCAGGGGAACCAAAGTGCTCAGTTTTAAACATGTTTGCAGACTGTTCCAATTTAGTGGAGCTGCACAACTAAAAGCTTTCTTCCCTAAGACAGTCCTAGCACTTGGCACATTTAATAAAACAACATCATGAGATCTCAGGCAATATGTACTTTCAATTCGTCGAGAGATCAGAGAGCAGATATAAAAGGTAGTTTACCCAACATGGCTTTGTAAATGAACATGTACCAGTGACTGAGCCTCCGTACAGTTAGTGAAGGCAGACCTGCCTTGGCATACAGGGTACAGTGATGAGTAAGTGCTTTACAGTTAGTAACAAATCTCAGGGCACTGTGATAGGCGGCATCTAACTTTTCCAGGCAATGGGCAGGTGCATTCATATAGATCAAATCACCATAGTCCAGCACAGGTCAAAAGGTCACAGTGACTAGCCTTTTCCTGGCTTCAAAAGAGAAACAGGACTTGTTTCTGAAAAAGAAACCTAGTCTAACCCTCAGCTTTTTAAGCAGGTTATTGACATGAAGTTTAAAAGTAAGACAATCATCAAGCCAGATACCTAGGTATTTATAACTGGTAACCACTTTGAGTACTTGTCCTTGCATAGTAACAATATCCAAAACAGGCTCTGGTGTCTTTTTAGCTTTTGAAAATAGCATTACCTTGGTTTTATCAACATTTAAAATAAGCTTAAGTTCAGCAAGCTGAGTCTGAATAATGTTAAAAACAGCCTGTAATTTAACACCAGCCTCCTTAATGGAGGGACCTGCACAGTACATCACGGTATCGTATCATCAGCATAAAAATGTAAAGTAGCTTCATCCACATTTTCACCTAAACTGTTGATATGTATGGAGAATAAAAGTGGACCTAAAACAGAACCTTGAGGAACACCATTAGCAATGTTTAACCACTCAGAAGACAGCCCATCAAAGTGAACACATTGGGACCTTTCAGAGAGGTAGTTCACAAACCAACCCACTGCATGGCTGGATATGCCGATACTGAGTAGCCTCTGCTTTAAGATGCGATGATCGACGGTATCAAACGCTTTGGAAAGGTCAATAAATAGAGCTGCACAACTCTGCTTATTATCTAAAATACTCGTAATGTCATTCACCACTTTCATTGTGGCAGTGATGGTGCTATGTTGTTTTCTGAAGCCTGACTGATGTTTAGACAGGATATCATTTTTACATAACAATTCCTTTACCTGTTCACTCACTAGGCGTTCGAGCACCTTCGCCAGAACTGACAATTTAGAGATTGGCCTATAGTTATTTAAAATAGTTGCCTCCCCTCCTTTTAGTAAAGGCAAGACATAAGCTGACTTCCATATTTTTGGAATTGCATTTGTGCTGAGGGAGAGGTTAAAAAGAGTAGTAAGTCACAATATATATTATGATATATATTTTTATTTCTTTCATGTTCCAGACTTTTTTATGTAGATTGTCTGCACACAACTTGGCACTTACTTGATTCTGATTGTGAAATAGTTAGTAGTTACTTGGTTGGTCAGTCAGGAATATTGAACCAGTTCAAAACACTGTAGAAAAACACAGCTACTTTCTTTACTTTTCCAACTGAGTACAAATAAATGTTATACCTGTAATATATATTTATTTTTTATTTTATCCATTCTCATGAGAAGTGTCTCAACCTGTAGTTTTAAGTTCGTTTTCCAGGTAAATCAGCCGTTGATGCAAATCAGGATTTTTACGGTCATTAAAACCTGGAAAAGTCATGGAAATTCAAAAATGCTATTTTCAGGCCCTGGAAAAGTTATGGAAAACAATATTTTTCCCAACGTTTTGGAAAAGTCATGGAAATGTAACCAAAGTTGCATTCAATATAATTTATATTTTATCTAATCGCCAAAATGGTAATACTATAATGATAATACATACTGTATCGTCTAGTAATGAAACGTAAAATGGCGTTTAACTGACGAGGTATTTTGCTGGTGAGAGATTTTAGTTGCTTTAGTCTGTAGGAGTAAGCCTTGATTTGTTTTAGATAGGCACAACATGTTTCATATGCACACCTTATTTTCCTGTTCCATGTTCAAATAAACCATTTTCAGTGGTACCGCTGAGAAAGTAATTTCTTTGGTCATGGAAAATTAGGTAAAGGTCATGGAGAAGTCATGGAGAAGCATTGGTGAACAAGTGTATGAACCCTGGTAAATGAGTCTGTGATGATTGGATGGTGATATGATGGCCTTTGTTCTCACCCTGATGGGAACCCTGCATTTCCTCCCGCCATGGGGATCCGTTCCTTGGCCTCCTCTGGTTTTTTTTTTTGGCTAACAACTAATGATGTTTTGAAAGTTTGCTAATCCTTTAATCTAGCCCCAAGAATTACAGAGAGGTGGTGATGTCAGGAGAGAAAAGAGCAGTGGTCGATCCGTCATGGGAATTTACAGTTGGGTTGGTGCGTGGAATCTTAATCGGTCGCGGCATTGTTCGGGGGTTAGGGTCCTGCGTGGGGGGCAGACTGGCCGCATGTTGGAGGGAGGTGGGGGAGGTAGGGCAGGAGCAGCAGGGGTGGGAACAGGTCTTCTTGTTTTGGGAGGAATGCTACTGTTGCTGTGTTGTTTTGACAGGAGGAAACACATGAGGGAGACAGGCTCCTGTTAGCAGCACGCTAACAAGTCGGATATCAAACAGATCAGGAGATCATTTCAAAGTGTAAAGACTTTATCTCGTGTTCTCCAAAGCTGTGTTCACTGTCTGCAGAACAAGGTTATGAACAATTATGTTTAGTGGGCTTTTCTGTCTACAAGTTTAACCGATTCGGGTCTCATAGGAATACTGTCTATTATATGCATTTCATTGTGCGCTTGCTAGTCTGCCAACTTCGCCGTATGTTGGCTTCATAGACGTGATCACATTGAAATGTAAGGTTACTTATTGAACTTTTGCAAAAGCTTCATGTACAGAACAACTTCTATTTTTGATCATGTCGTTTGAAATGAATGGAGTGACATTTACTTCCAATTCACTGTCTGTGTGTTCAGCCAATAGATGTGCTGAGAGGAAGACGGAGAATGTAGAAGAAGAAGGAGAAAGAGAGGAAGTGTTCACGGTGGAGCTTCACAGAGGTCCTCACGGCCTCGGTCTGGCGCTCGTAGATGGGACGGTACGCTGACGTCCTCCTCTTGTTCTCTCTTTCAGAATGTGACTTCATTCAAAATGTATAAATGAACAGTAGTGTAGAGATGACCCCATCTTATTAGGATTGGTTCACATCGGCAGCCTTGTGGGCTTTCAAGAAATGTTGTGCAGCTGCTAATGAGATCAGACCGTAAACTGAAGGGATTTTGACCACAAGCCTAATCTTACTAAAAGTTCTTACTTATTGAAGTGGGGGGCTAAAGCAACCTAATGAAAGAGAGCTGTAATACATTATGTTTTGAACCCAGACTCATTAGTGCCAAGTTATAATAAGAAACAGCATAACGATAAACCACATAAATAACACCGATATTCTTTTTTTAATTGGCTGACAGTTATGAATAAAGTACTTAACCTCACGCCTGTTTTGAAAATTATAAATCACAACCGAGTCAAATGCTTATTGAAAATAAACAAACAAGCAAAAAGAAAACTGACCAAAAAGACCCCTTTCATTTTCAAAAACATTTCTATTGATTTTAATCATCAATTTTAATGAATTGCTTTACAAATTCAAATAAATAATATAGGAGAAAGTCAGAGTATGATTATTTATGACGACATTCCTTCCAATAGTAGTTCAGATATTACAGTCCTGCAGAGAGAAGAAAAAAAGAAATATTTCAGCACACACACATTGGCTGCTACTTGTCACCCTAAATGTCACCAACCTTGACTCCACCTGTTTTATGTTTTTGCAGAAAACACAGCTGAGAATGAGCGGCATCTATGTGAAGTCGGTGGTGCCGGACTCTCCTGCTGCTCGCTGTCGGAAACTGAGGACGGGCGATCGCATCCTGGCTGTGAACGGCATCAGCGTGGTGGGGATGGAGTACAACCTGTAAGCATTACAGAACCTTGTGCTTCATAAAGGACGTTTCTGACCAGGGTGTGATGGTTTTAACTTCAATCTAAGCTCCTGTTTTTGTAGTATAAGACCGTTTGTAGACAAAAATCTGACCTCAGAGCCTTCAAGGGAAAAATGTCCTAGTATCTGTTGATCACACGGCCATAAAAGCATACAATTCAATATTCACATGTTTGGTTTCAACAGATTTATTTGTAGCAGATTGAGCCATATTCTAACGTTTGCCCTATGACATTTCCTGGTTACCTACACAATACATAAAATGCATACAAATAAATGTGGTTGCGAATGGTTGACATATCAATACTATAGAAAATAAATCCCCCTAACATTTCGAACACATCAAATAAAACAATGTCAGGCTTTTGTTTTGTTTGTTTCAACCAAATTCTATTGGTCTATATTGGTAAAGAGTCAGGACTGATATAGTTAAAAGTGTTACCTCAGTAAAGAAGGTGGAAAACATAAATATGAATAAATAGTATTTATTTGAGCAGTTTTAGGAGAGAGGGCCCTTTGTCCTTAAAGTAAAAGAAAATGTTCTTGGTGTATAAGGGGTAAAGTTTGAAGTGAAATTGAATGCAGATATTTTTGTCCTTTATGAAAATCAGAGCTACTTTTTAAAGTGACGCATAAGGTTTAAAGTAGACACATATCTGCAGATATTAGGCTGACCTGTCCTCTCTGTACCTGCTTGTTTACATCGTGTTTGTTCTCATTTCAGTGGTCGAGAACTGATCCGATCATCAGGAGAATCTCTCAGACTGCTGGTGGCCAAAATCGACTCAAAGACCAGCGACAAGTGCTCGATTACGACTAAATGCTGAGGGGAGAGCTTTGTGTGGACGATCAAGTGCAATTTAAAATACTCGGCGGATGTTTGCTTCATCCTTCCTGCTGATCCAAAGCCAGTCATTATCTCAGAAAGGACAAACTCACATCTCATTCCAGACGTATTGTGTGTTATAGAGCTTTTTTCTGTGCGTTGAGACAATCAGAATGAGGGCACGGTCACGTTTATAAAAAGCTCATTTTGCTGTCACAGCTTCTGTCCGGCCTATAAACAGCTCTCATAAACCGCGAGGGTTTCTGCGGCGAGGCAAGTAGCTGCCTGTGGCTGTTTGCTAACATCTCATTTCACTCTCTGAGTTCACAGTTTTCTGTCTGGGGAGCTTCATCAAGCTGCTCCAGGATCAAACATCTGGCAACAACTGGAATTATTTTGAAATGAATCTTTTTAAAAACTGTGAAACCGTGTATTTTACTCTGGAAAACAACTCCTATTTGTTTTGGAGTCATAAAATCATATTTATTCACAGGTGGACATCAAATATATTTTCTTGTCTTTTCCAGAACATTCCCAAAACAAGGAAAACAACACTAAGATCAAGCAGATTCATCTCAATTTAGGAAATGTTTTTTCTTGTTTTGAGTAAAAAACGCAATAAATATATAGGACTATCTTTGCATTCTAGCATTTTGGTCGTTTTTATTGTGGTCTTAATGTCATCACACAGATCCTCCTGCTGTGAAATATCCACTTTTATATCGCCTGAAAGACGAAAAGCAAAGCAGGACAAGTGACGGATGACTACAAACATCCAGGATTAAGGGTCATTGGATAATTCTCAACCTGAGCCCTATTTCCCCCTGTTATGTTCCCCATTTTAAAGGAAGGGTATTCATCTACACACATCTACATATGTTGTTATATTGAAATAAAACAGTCCCTCAATTGCTGACAGTTAGATGAGACCGTTCCTTTAAATCCATATTGTTGGATGTTTGGGCCCAAATCATAAAACGTAATGTTTTTTTCAGTTCACATGAAAAACATCAGCGGATCAAGTTTGATAATGTGTACCACTGTAGAACGACAAACTGCTGCAGCCCTCATCGGAAGTCTGTCCATGATATCATCCCAAATGTTGTCAATTCAAGTTTATTGGCACACAGTATTATTCACAGTATTTTGTAATATTTATGTCGCAGTATTTTTGAAACTATTGAATAAATATAATTTTGATTTTTAAAACCTTTAACTTCTGGTTGTATTGTCTTTGTGTGTACTCCTTAAAGGAAAATGTTGGATGTTTTAAAGTTGGGTTGCATGAGATACTTCGGATTCAATATCCATAGTCAGTATATTACCTACAGTTGACTTTAGGGGTCCGATAATACTCCTGTTCAGGTTCATATTTTTATGTTGTGCCTCTACTCTGACATGCTTCTACGGAAGAGGATTAGGGCCACATAACAATTTTTTTTGTGAGGATTTGAAAAAAATATTATTATTTGTTGTTCTGAGAAAAAAGTCAGAATTCTGACTTTTTTCTCAGAATTCTGACTTTTTTCTCAGAATTCTGACTTTAATCTCAGAATTCTGACTCATATATATTACTTTTACTTAATATGCTGCTACTCCTTTCTGCTTTTCCAAGCTGGCGGCGTGTAACCCGCCTCTCCTGTATTTAACACACTTTGGAATACGGAAAAGTACCTCATACCACCCCACTTTAAAAAATCAGAACTTTAAAATGTGTGTGTTGGTGTTTTTGAGTGAACTCCATGTGCAGCTGGAGGTGGGTGGAGCAGCAGGGTGTGTCGGCACGCGTTAGTGGTCGCCTCCAGCCGCTCTGTTTATAGCCACTGAGCTTTCCACTAGCCCAGCACTTTCCACTCCTCCTCAGCACAGTGCAGCCTCTGTGGCCCCTGAGGCCCCGATTGAAATAAAAACACAGCTGTATGGTGCATGAAGTTTTAAATGTGAAAGTAATTAGAGTGTGAACAAGGTGCTGAGCGTGAGGCTCCCTTGCAGCTTTCTAACATAAAACATATTTTAAGAGTGTATGTTCACCCTGCAGGATTTTAATGCTCAGGTCCGGAATGATGCTAACGTTAAATACCTTTACTCATTCACTCAAGTACTCATATGAGCTCTTTTATTGCTACTATACACTTATACACCCATTTTAAAAGCCATCTATAATATATATGAGTCCAGCATGAGATATTGGCTTTATCCGATGGAAGGTAGTGAAATGCAGAATTTTGAAGGAATAGCTCTAGATTGAAAGCCTGATATAACATACACTCTTTTGATTCTATGTTGTAATGGCCGTGGCATAAAAAGAAAAAAGGTTTTATGGCATATTATATATAAACACAGCCAAAATGATAAAAAGTTGTCATGATCTTTGTTTTTGTATTCTACGTTTCCTGTTTTATTTTTGAAATCAGTTTTCCCTTTGTGTCTGGTCTTGTTTTACTTCCTGTCTTGGTGTTTTCCCGCCTGTTCCTGATAGTGTTCACCTGCTGCCCCCCCCCCCCCCCCTCCAGCTGGGTCTTATCTCCATGATTAGGCTTGTGTGTTTAAAGGCCTGATTTTGTACATGTTCAGTGTTTCTTTGTTTACCAGCTTTTGCTTTTAAATGTAAAAGTTAACTCTGCCTGCCATCTTATTTTTGAATGCTCCTGGGTCCAACTTCCTGACAAACCCTGACAAGTGTTGCCCTGGGTAATACCATAGGGTAATACACAGTGCGTGAGTAAAATTAGGCTACACAAACACACAACAGTCAAAGGTTGTGTTGAGGTCTTCTTTGTTTATGTAGCTGTTAAAGGAGGTGATCAATGTGATTTACTGCTAGTAGCTCAGAATGAAATGTGACTGGTTCAGACATGAAGGTCCGTTCTAATGTTGAAAAATAACTTGACAACATGAAGAAGAAGAGATACTATAGAAACTGTTTAGGGTTTATTTTACTTCAATATATACCCAACAAATAACTGAAAATAAACTGACATTTGTGATGAGTATATTTGATATTGGCTTGCATAGCTCACGAGTAGTAGCTCATAAGTTTTGTTTGTGGAGTACAGAGCAACACTCACCACTGCACATGCAGGTGCTACACAAAGGTCAAAGGTCACATGTCTTTGGGTGGCTACCTGAAAGATGCATTGAGAGAATAAAGGTGGTCAAAAGGTGTTAAATTAACACTTGGGAAGCTAAAGTCAATTGCAAAATATACATAATTTCCTTTCTTGGCCTAGCATTTGATTGTGTGATGGTTACGAAATACAATAAAATAAATAATAACAACAAAATAAGTATAAATTGTAAAACACCACATAAAATCCAGACTAAAAGTCTAAAACCAGGCCTCAGAGTGACAACGTGCGGGAAGAACAGCCGTAATGGTTGTCTGTCCTTCCTGTTCATCTTAGACAATGAAGGCAGGAAACAGATTCACACATTAGGAAAGTGAATGAACTACTCACTGCTGTCCCTCCCAGCCCAGCGCTGGGGTGGGGGGGGGGGCGGGCTGGTCCTGGGACCCGGCCCCTCCCTGAGATACAGACAGGAAATCCCGTCTGGAGACGGAGACAAGGAAAGAGTGACTTGGAGGAGAAACAGTCAGGATGCCTCTGAGTCAGAGAGCGCGTGAACATGTTTTCATATCCTTGAGTGAAAGCTCCAACACGGAAAAAATACTGTTCTCATTTGAAATTTCAAGTGCTTTCAGTTGCCTAGTATCTGACATTTTAAAATAGTTTATCACTAATAAAAAAATCATATCAAATTGAAAAGAATACTAAGATCCAGTTAAATATGTGTGTTCTACTAGACCAGCATAGTATTGCAATTTATTGATTGGCTCTTTAAAAAAATCAAAAGAGGTGTGTCCTACTCGTCCAGTGTTCTGAAATACTCACTTGGTCATATGACATGGAAGCCATTGAAAAAAACAAAACACTTTTCAATAAAGAAATACTTCATTTTCAATAAAATATGTATAGAACCTGCCCTGATAAACACATTAATTTATCAATAATTAATCAAAATATTTCATATATTATTCTGAAATGGACCAATCTGCTTAATGAATACTTTTGGTTCTTTCAGTATATGTTGATGCTAATACTTTTACTTGAGTAACATTTTGAATGCAGGACTTTTACTTACTTAACAGAGTATTCCTACACTCTGGTACTTCTACTTTTACTCAAGTACAAGTTTTGAGTACTTCTCCCCCCTCAGCTCATTACACACCTGCTAGTTCTGTAGGAAGGTCTTAACTAATTGCCATGGTTACATCTCATCCCCTCTTTCTCTAACAGGGAGACTCTGCCAATGTTTCTCCTCTGCAGGGACACCACTGCCCTCTGCTGGAATATGTCAGCTGGTGCAGGGTGGGAAAAGGCTGAAATTGAAGTCCCACTCATAATGTGTCATTTTGAGTGGACATAATTAAAACTAAAAAACAGAAATGTCCCTCTGGAATTAATAAACGGTAAAGAAAAATGAGGGCCTTCACTGGAAATGATGAAGCAAACCTTGCCATTTTTATGTATTAATCCTAATGACAAAACATATATATATACGGGAGAAGTCATTTTTTATTTTTATTATAATCAAATGTGGACTTATAGATAGAGCATATTAAATAAACATCCCAAACATGACCCAAGCAACTGAACCAATATCTGCTAGTAACCTTGTAAATGACACTCCATTTGACTTTTTACTCACAAGGATATGTCTCTATAAAATATTACCTGGGAGATGATTGGACTATAGGCAAAACCTCCTCTGATGTATTTCAAAAGATACTCTGTTTTCTTGAAACGCACTTCATGTCGGGGGGAAACTGTGTGATTGAAATATTGCTGCTTGACCTCCAGATATGCATCTTTGACACTTTTGTATTTCATTACTTCTACTTATTTTCCAACAAGTGTAGTTACATGTGTCCTACCTTGGCTAGATTATGTATGATTGTTTTAATGCAATGACAATTAACTAAATCTAAGGAAATGCTAAAACTGTTCATCAGCTCTTTAATGAGCTTCCTTGAAGGACATTGGCTGAGAGAGTGAGGGTGTGAATGTGTGTGCACGGTGACTCGTCAGAATACATAGCTCTATCTGCTGTATACGTTCCAACTGATTTCTGTGTGTGTGACATGTAAAAGTGGAATGCTGACAGGTGTGCCTTTTTAAATGTTAACGCTGGCTGAGGCTGACTCCAACAACACAATGAACAGTTGTATTGTTTTTTCACACATTAAAAAACCAAACGTCTTTGTTGTTATACAAAGCTGATGTATATAAGGGCTCCAAACCGTTCAAAGTCAGTTTAATTATGTTATAAGTGTATTTGAAAGGTACAAATGTTCCATAAAATGTTATTAACACACTCTGGTATTAGAAAAATGATTTCCGATTGATATCTTATATTAATTTGACTTTGCTTTTGGATAAAAGTCACAGCTTTTCAGCTTTGCTAAAAGACAGATTCAATCTACACAAGATTGAGTTATATGGGAGTGGTTTGGGTAAGTGACGTGTTGATAAGGTATCTGCGTTGTTTCAAGTAAGAGGACAGGATTAAAATAGTTAAACTAGGAGACACAACACAAGTGGGATGCACTTATACATAACCCGAGGCCTTAATGCATTCATATCCTATCGACAAATTCCTCAAAAATACCCATTTACACCTTTAATCTACGTATGGAAGTCTCATATATTTTTCTTCTGCATCAAAAAGAGTTCAAATTGTATTAAAATTCAATTAAGAACAGATCAATAATCCTTGCTGTAGTTAGTCTTGATTTATCCCGACACACCACATCCTGCTGCCACAAATCTATATCACCAAATGTTGATTCATCCGCCGCTGAAAATAGTCCCAAGAAAATTCACCATTTCCTCACTTATTTTTAGCAAAGATATTCAGCCTTTATCAGGATTGTATCTGAATCTATTGAGACTGATTTACTGCACATTTGGATGGACACCGATAGCCAGGTTTTCTTTAAAAATAGTTGGAAACTTTAAACGAATATCAAAAATAAAATCAGCCAAAGAAAATGCAAACGATCCTTGTTTCCATTTCCTTCCACTATTTGATTATGAGGATCATTGAGATAAACATTTGGAAGACCCATTACAAACCAACACCTTTTCACTCACTCACTGCCTTCTTACATCAGTGCATCCCAAAGTAAATGCCATTTTAAAAATGCACACAAAAATATCAAATAAATATATATCTTTTTTTATATTGCCTTGTATTGATTTTAAATAATGACTGTCACAAGTCAGCCGAACACTGTTAACTTGCACACTTGAGGTTGTGTCACTGAGAGAGAAGGCACAGCTAGGATAAAGCAGTCAAATGGAGCCCTTAAATCTGATTTTAGGGGCTAGCTGAGTTCTTATATAAAACAGCCACAGTCCTCCATCAAGAAAAACTGCACTAAATCCTGAAAGGACAACATTTCCACATTCAGACAAAAAAGATCAATCTATCTGCAGATTTTAAGTCCATAACAGTCAGTTGTTGTGTACGTTTGTGACGGATAATGTTTTTTCCAACCAGTATTCTGCACTTTTCAGATAGGTAGGTAAGAAGCATCCCCCTCCTCCTTCTTCTCCCTTTAGTCTTCATCCTGGATACTCTGCTTTTTCTTGGCCACCCGGGCCTGGCGCATCACCTGCAGGGTCTCGTGAGGGTCCATGATGAAGGCCAGAGCCACGCTGGCAGTGCCGTCGCCGCTCTGCCGGGAGAAGCACAGGAAGCTGGCCCAGAGGAAGGCGCAGCAGCCCATGAAGGCCGTCCGCAAGTACAGCGGCATCAGGACGAAGTTCAGGAGCTGCAAAAAGGGTGGTAAACATGAAGTTACAGATATTCATATACACTGTCGTCATTTTTTGTTTTCAGTGAACAGAGTTACTTTCTTATCAGTTGGAAAAACAGTCAGACAAAACAAAGCTCTCCAAGGATTTAAAAAAAAATCCATAAACAAGCAAAAATAATAAATAATGTGTCAACATGTGCACCAAATTTGTGTTTGCTTTATTATTTACCTGCATGAATGGCCAGTACATGAGTCCAGTCTGAAAAGGAAAAAAAGATTAGAGTATGACCAAATCCATATATGCCATTTTGGAAAAGGATATGGGTCTTAAAGGGACCCTGTTCTGCTTATTTTCAGTTTCATTTTTGTATTGAGTGTCTCTACTGTGACATTTCTCCATGCTTTAATGTTCAAAAAGCTTTTTATTTCTCTCATACTGCCTGTGCTGTGCGTTTAAGGCAGGGGGGGGAGGTAGAGAAACTCCCTTCTGGACACTATTAACTAATGATACGTTGACATTTACCAGGATCGTGAAGCATTAATCCAGCAGCATTACACATGATTTATATTTGGCATGATATCAGCTGCTGAAACTCACTGACTTTTTTAATCCTCTGTCAGTAGCCGCGGCTGAATTACCCAGCTTGCTCTCGGGCTAGTGTCCACTGCGCAAAAGCGGCAGCAAGCAAAATCTGGGTTAATCTGTTTGAGCAGCAGCAGCAGCATGGGGAGGGAAGGTGACTTTCCTCTGCTGGATGCTGCTGAGGCCTTACCTTCCAGGTGTTGAAGAACTTGTCTCTCCAGTCTTCAAAGATGTCCTCCTTACCCTCCAAGATGCTCACCCCTGCAGGAGAGAGGAGACTTTTAGGTCCAGTTTGAGTTGATTTAAAAACTTGTGTAAGGACCATGATGGATTACTAAATGGGCATTCCGGGCAAAGGCACAGGGGCCCAAAGTGTCAGGGGCCTGACTTACAAAATGTTGTTGAAAAATAATCAAACAACTATGAATGATTAAACATTTCTACAAAAGATAAATAAAATAACTTTATAGCTGCAAATCAACCACATTAAGACGGTAAATGACTGAAAATGGACTCAAATTGACGAAAAGTATATTCACATAAGGACTTTTCACGAAAGAAGATGCAAAACCACCATGAAGGACGCAAAACAATCATGTGCAAAACACACACAAAACAAGCAAACTATACTACATATAAACTTGCCCCACAAAGATACCAAAAATATTCTAAATGAATAATGATAAATACAAAACCACCACACAAACATTCAAAACATCTACAAGTAGACACAAGCCAACCAAAGACAGATGTTAATTTACTAAAAATAGACTTTTTAAGTTTGGGTGTCTTATTTCTAAGGAAAGAGGAAGGGTGAGGGGGTCCTACATTTTTGAGCCCAGGGGCCTAAACTCTCAAAATACGTCCCTGACTCACCCTGCATGATATTTGACTGAGGGATGACCTTCACAAGAAACCTCATTAAACCTCACTTTTGTGTTTCTTTGTTATGATTGCATGCTGTTTCATATTGAATCAGCCTGAGGGCATGTTGTTGAAGCAAATATTCTGAACATGTGTACAAATGTCCCTGCTCTGTAGTTTGACATGAATCGTTTTAGAGATATTAGGAGTTAGTTATGTGCACGTGAATTGACAAAGCCCTTAATTGTCTTCACATTAGATTGGATTCACCATCAGGCTGTTTTACCTGTGTAGAAGGCACTGGTGGCCAAAGGCGACGCGAAGCTCTGGTCCAGCAGGAGTTTGCGTAAAACCATTCCGGCGGACTTCCCGGGGAACCGTCTCTCCAGGGCTCGCAGCCAGAAGTAATTAAAGTTCCCATGGAAACTGATTGCTACAATAGCCACGTTGCGAGTGTGTTTCCAGTCAATGTTATCCTCTTGAGCTACGAGCTGATGGACCAGGTCACCGCCGGCGAACAGGCACCCATACAGAGTGACATTGGCCAACCAGGGAAACCTTTTGGCGGCCTCTTTGAGCACGACCCTCCTCATATTGGCACCACTGAAGGGACGCTGTGGCTCCTAAATTGACGCTGTAAGGTCCTTAAATGGTTTTTCAGCCATCAAAACGTAGGCATAGCGGTTAAACTGGTCTCACCACGGCCGGATGTCAGTCTGCTGGCCGGCACGACGCTATCCATCTGTGCGCAATAATTAGAGAGGGATTAAAAGGCTCCACTGGCTGCGGGAATATCACACATTACCGCTTCTCAAATGAGTAATGAGAAATAAACACTCATATGCGTAAAACCTGCCATGGCTCCAGTTGGTCACTTGGAAAGTCTTTGAAGTAGCGCGTCCTCGAATTACGCATGCGTAAAATCCATAAATCCACCATATCCTTATATAAAGGAGACACGGAAGAACAATCTGAAGAGGAACAATATTATAAATCTAGATATTTCTGTCTGCTTTCACTCTCAGTGAATCAGGTGCCTGTCAAACAAGTCCTGCCGGTCGAGCTCTAATCTGAGGGATTGTCCCGGGACGCTCAGACGTATAGCCTCAATGACCGTGTACGTAACTACGTCACATAGCATTAGTTTGCTGTGCAGTGATCTGCGCTGACCAAACAGCTCCCTCTCTTTCTCTAGCTATTTTGGGACTCTTGTACTATGTGGTTTTGTGCCATTACCATTGTTTCTTCTTTATCTAATTTTCAGAAAAAGAAACTGTAATTACAGTTAAGAAGCAGCTGGGCCATACTACTTTGACCTAACATTGAACTTTGCCCCTGTTGCTCATGTATGTGCTGAGCAAAGGAATGTGCGTAAGAATAGCCAGAAAGGCATGCTGGCCCGCATACTGAAAAGGTGTTGGTATTCTTGGCTCAATGCATTTTACACTACTACATAATGTTCTTTAAATGGCATGCCTTATAGTATTGGAATACAAGTAGGCCTATTGGAACGCGAGTGTAAGTGAATATCCCTATTTTTACTGTTATAATCATAATATCCATCTATTTAAGCACACCATTTCTGTATAAAATGATATGTTTCAAATATAAAACTCATTCAATTGAGACTTTATTTGCCTCATCTTCGGATCTTACAAACATACTCTACTGGTTATTAGGTTAAACATAATTACAAAAAGGAATACATTAAATTAAACATGATACATGTATTCCAGAGGTGGGAGAAGTACTCCGATGTTGTACTTGAGTAAAAGTAGAAGTACCAGAGTGTAGGAATACTCTGTTACAAGTAAAAGTCATGCATTCAAAATGTTACTCAAGTAAAAGTACAAAAAGGTATTAGCATCAAAATATACTCAAAGTACTAACAGTAAAAGTGCCCATTATGCAGATTGGTCCATTTTAGAATAATATATGATATGTTTTGATTATAATTATTGATGCATTAAAGTGTTATCAAAGCTGGTAAAGGTGCAGCTAGTTTTAATGACTAGTGAATTAATACTGCAGGGTAGCTTGTGAACTCAGGTGGAACTAAAGTCTGATTTAAGACTTGATTATATTTCCCATCATTCATCCACATCTGTAAAGTAAGTAAAGGGACAAATATTGTAGTGGAGTAGAAGAACAAAGTAGCATAATATGGAAATACTCAAGTAAAGAACAAGTATCTCAAAATTGTACAGTACTTGATTAGCTCTAGTTACTTCCCACCTCTGATGTATTCAAGCAGCAAGCCAGAACACATGCAGTTTCCATTTTGTGCCAATAGAGGGCGAAGTTACTCCACAAAGGGCCTGCAGGGGCTAATGTTTCTGTACAACAAATAACGCTATGCAAATAACGCAATGGTTGACCGAGGCTGAAGTCACATACACTTAATAAATATGATAGCAAAGAATGCAAGATATTACAGTAATGTAATAAATACATAGCATCCAATTATTTATTTTTTAAAGATTTGTTTTTATACTATATTTATATTTAAAGATGCTCAATTTTCAGTAGGTTCCAATTGCAATTTGTAAAATTCACAAAACTTTCCATTTCTGCAAAAAACATATCCAAAACAAAGCAAAAGTGCACAAATGTTTACAGAGGGACACACATGTAGTCGCGTAAAAATAATACAGTACAATTCTTCAACTTAACTACATTACATAAGGTAAAAAGTGAGGACATATTACTGACATTAAACATCACTCTAAATTAAAAAAGAAAGAACACAATAAAAGTAAATAAATACCCAGCTGCAACATACATTTACATTACAAGTCTAGATTTAAATTAATTTCATCAGGAGGTTGATTAGGGACGGGTGAACCGAGCATTCCTCACTCCGATTGGCTTATTTTCTTGTCGATCATAATGATCTTGTCGCTGATTGGCTCCTGGCCTAGAATCCTCGGAAGTGTCATTTTTGTACTTGAGCAAAACTTCGGCATATCTATCGGTGGTGTGGCGTTGGCTTCTAGCTGATTCACAACTTTTGGAAATAAATGGCCACTGAAAAGCTCTAAAACAGGTATGTTTCTCCACCTAACAAGATTAACTTTTCATTTAAACGAAATAGCAGACAGTGTCTTGTGTAGTTTATTGTGTTTGCTCTCCCAAACATGGTCTGAGTTTGATTGTCTTTTGGCCACAAGCTAGCCAACTTTCCTCCTGTCTTGAAACGTTTCTCAGTAACGACAACACGCCTATCTAACTCGTAAACGTGTCTTTCATAAATTGTAGCTTATCTGAATCCTCTGAATCAACAGTAACACACTTTTACTCTCATTTAACGGCTGATACTGACAACTTGCAGTTTGCCTGTTATTGTCATCATCTTCTTCCACAAAAATGCAACGTGACCACCATCTATTAAAGTTCTAATTTCAAGGATAAAGAAGGCGCTTTGAGAAACAGCTTTCAAACCGAATTGGCTTAAATACAATCTTTATTCAGGCAGAGCCCATTTTTTATGATTGTGATGTGTCTCAATCTGCTGAGAGGAGCTAGAACTTTGAAATGGCAGATTTGTGAAGGGAGTTTGGTAGGGGTTCTCCCCTCACGCGACACATTAAGATAATCAGTACTGTATCCACCGACCTGCGTCCTCGTGACATTCCCACGGAGCAATTATACACCGTAAATCTATTTTACATTTTACATGTCTAAACTTCCATAAGCAGACTCAATACTGCTGGGTAAAGGTTTAACTTTATGAAAATAACTGCAAAATACGGAAGTGTTTGTAAGCGAGTTGAGACATGTCTGCTGTCTCTTCTTGTCACTGCTCTGCTCTAATAATAATAATAATAATAATAATAATGTTTGGTTGCACTTGAATGCCTTTCATAACTTTGCTGTTTGTCAGAGCATGTGCAGCATGCCTGAAGGAGTTACATGCTGCTTCTTTACATTATCTAACGGTTATTTAAAGATAAAACATACAATTCAAATGAGGTCATAACATTATATGATGCATTCAAGTGCTTAACAATAGTATGTCTATCAAGCTTCCAGTATGAGCACTCAAAAACAGCCAATATGCTCATGAATGTTGAGGAGAATATTATAAAACAAAATGATCAACATGCACAACCCAACCTTTTTGTCAAGTCTGTTTAAACCGTCCTTTTTTGTTACCTTTTATTCTGGATTGTTTCTCAAATTCAATATGAAATGGCTTTCCTTGCTTCACACAGAGCTTGTTTTAAGACTTGTTTGCCTAGACAGGGTTGTGTCACTGCATATTTGTAATACCGTGAACAGTGTGACAGACCTGTGAAGGCAAGACAGTAGGACATCATTACACACAGGTTGACCTAAACACAGGGGCGGATCTAGACAAATATTCATGGGGTGGCAGGAGATTTTGAGGGGTGGCATCCCCTGACAGAAGTATATGCTGATTTAAATCGCAATCATATCAATCAATTAGGGGTGTAACGGTACACATACCCGTACTGAAATTATTCGGTACGGGCCCTTCGGTTCGGTACACGTGTGTACCGAACGAATATAGCGTTAAACGTAAAAAATTGAGAACATGAACAACTTTCTGGAAGTAATCTATATCATAGAGCGACCAAGTCATTTCATTGGACGAGAGGCATACTATGAGAGCTGGTCACAGGGATGCGTTCAAATGTAGTCAGTAATTTGAGGAACTGTCGAAATGGCGAACGCAGATAAAGTTGAGCTGAAAATCCTCCAGCATCATTGAAGTCTCCGGTTTGGAAACATTTTGGTTTCGCAGTTACGTACAAGGATGACGGACAAAGACAGGTGGACCGAACCAAAGCTGTTTGTCGGCATTGTTCAACTAAAATTGGTTAAGCGGCTGGCAATACATCAAACTTGCACACTCATTTGAAAAGGCATCACGCGAACGTGAATATCACCGGTACCAAAAGAAAAAAGACTGAAGTGCAAACCCAACTCCCACTAGCATGTAAGCCTCCACCACTCGCAAAGAGTTCAGACCGAGCCAAAGCTATTACAAACGCCAAATATCCTTATGTTTTCATGTTAGCAAAGCGCTACCTGGCTGTATCTGCTACCTCTGTCCCTAGAGAGGGTGTTCTCCACAGCAGGAGACATTGTTAGTGCCAGCAGATCTGCCCTTTCGGCAAGCAATGTGGACAAGTTCATCTTTCTTTAAAAAACATGAAAATACAATGACAAGCAAGTCCTAATGTCAAGCTGGCTGCTTAGGTACAGTACAGTTCAAATACAGATTATTTCAGTTCATCGAAATGCTGCACCTTAATGTTTATTTTACTATATTTTGTATTTATTTGAATACATTAGTCACAGTTTAATAATAATTAAAAAAAGATATTTAATGTTTTGTGATAATTTTTTCTGCTGTACCGAAAACGTACCGAACCGAACCGTGACCTAAAAACCGAGGTACGAACCGAACCGAAATGTTTGTGAACCGTTACACCCCTACAATCAATGTTAACTTGGAAAGCCACAATATTAATATTTTAACTCAATCACATAGGTGATATTATTGTGGCACATCAGTAAAGCCTTACATATAAGGTGGCAGACGTAATTTAATGAATTTTAACTGAACAATAACTGAATGAGTTTGTCTCACTCTTAGACCTGTGACCTAAGCATTTCATTGTTATAACTACACTGTAGCTATGCACAAATGACAATAAAAGCCTTGAATCTTGAATCTAAAGGTGCAGCTAGTTTTAAGGACTTTGTATACTCCAGGTGTAACTAAAGTCTGATTTAAGAGTGAGTTGATTATATTTCACATCATTAATCCAAATGTGCAAAGTAACTTAAGGTATTACATAAATGTAGAGGAGTAAAACTACACTATTTACCTCTGAATTTTAGTGAAGTTGAAGTGAAAGTATCAAGAAATTGAAATACTCACCTATGAAACACCACCTCAAAATTGTACTTATCCTCAAAGGTACTCGAGTAAATGTAATGTTACTTCCCACTGGTAGTCTGCCATAAAAATGGTCATAACATAGTATACATAGTATAACATGTCATAGAAATGGAATAAACTAACACACACACACCCGCAGCCTGGCTGGGAGTTTGTGTGTGCTCACACACAAACTCCCAGCCTAAACTCCCAGTCCCGCCGTCTCGGAGGAGAAATCGGCGGAGCTGCAGCTTAACGTAACGGCTTTGCGGACGTAACGTAATGGCTCCAGGGATTGGTCTATTTGGACCAATGGGTCCATTTGGGTATGGGCACATCACTGTACCCAGGAAGAAAACAATGGAAAAAGAGAAATCTCCAACGAGGCCTTCTGGGGCAGCATAGACAGGTCTTTTCTGTGTTAGAGTTTTACTCGCTACAGGGTGTACTTTGAGGGTTTGTGACTCTGCAGACCTTTTACAAGCAGAAAAACCTTCATAGCACACAAGGGGACGGGTAATAACCGGAAAAGCATGACATGGGACCTTTAAATTAGTCATTTCAGAGAGTTTTTCTCAAGACTGATGTCCTTCAAGCATGGCAAAAAAAGTCAAAGTGCAAATTAGCGTGACGATTTTGTATTAGTTTTACCTAGGCCAGTTTAACATTCAAAAACAAGGGAGAAGCTGACACCCCAAGGCCCACAAAGTGATGGGTAATGGACATGTTTATGAGGTCCTTATCAAGCTTTTCTGCGCATTTTAGTTTCCCATCAGTGCCCCTGACCTCATTTGGGCTCGATCTTCAAGTGAGAACAGCCACATAAACCAAACTGTCAGCATCGGGATAGCATGGTTAATGCCTGATATCCTGCGACAAATCAAGATGTAGTGGGAGCTTAGTCGGAGAGGTTTTAGTGTTTTCTCCAGAATATGTAAGTAATGAGCAGGAGGAGCCCTGCCGACAGGCCTGCGATCAAAAACTGGTGGATAGAGAGGACGTTTTCCAGCGTGTGGATCCTCTCCTCCATGGCACTGGTGTGGAAGTAGTCATAGATGCCAGCTCCGATGCTCCACAGCGCCCACACTGCGTCCAACA